TCCTCCTCTCTCCATTCATCCATTTTTTCTCGTATCACTTTGTGCTTGTTTCGGATGCAGATTTTGAAAGCATTAATCATCTGACTATCAAAAATCATGTGGGAGGATACCCAAAATCTCAAGGAAAAATTTATGTTTTATAATCACTTCTAATCATTTATTTTTTTTCCACTATATCCTGCAGTTCAGATATTTTTGGTTACTATCTATTGATTTAGAAGCCTTAAGATCTGAGTAGCGTTGATTGTAGCAATAAAATTTCGGGACACAGTTAACGCCGGTTCAAGGTATTATGCATAAATGAAATTTATTATTTCTCCATCTGACTTACTGTGTTCTTAAGGGCAAGCATCCTTTTGATGCTTCTCTATAACGTTGATCGGTGAGCTGGTGCTGCAAATTAAATTTCCGTTCAACACCTGCATCTTAATGTTTCACACAGGCCTTTCTCTCAGGAGGGAAAGGTACATCCTACTGATCTGGCATATTCCATTTGAAACATCCTCTTTCAGTAACCTGTACGCTTCCTTCATTAGTTTCACATCTGCTCAAAAATATCTACTTCTGCAATCACCGTGAACGACCTGACAAAGATAGCATTTCAGTTATCATTTATAGATTATGACCTAGCTTACATCATCAATTTGTCTTGCCTACACTTCATGGTTCAATTAAGTAAAATTCTAGGGGACTGTAAGCATGGCTCTAATAGAATGACACAATAAAGTGCGTGTCTAATATAGGTGAGATGTTTGTTGTAGTGTTGTTTCAGCTCTTTAGTTGACAGCAGAGAGCAGTTCACTCTAGAAGTTATAGACCAGCTAGAAGGGGAATTCAAGAAAATTTGTTGAGTAGAGCATCATCAAATGCAGCTTAGTTGTACAGTCCAGTGAGAGATCGGAAAAATGGGGAGAAATGGCTCTAAGGTATTCATGGCATATCCGTTCCAGTTGCAAGGGAAGAATGATTTCGATTAAACATTGAGAAATTTGTATATGGAATGTGGCTACCAGCATCACAGTGATGATATTTATGAAGGGTAATATTTTATAATAAACATGTCTGCTCAAAGTCATAGTGTTTATATTTCGTTATTAAGTTAAAACGCTCAATTCACTAGTGAGGAATAAAATGAACCAATAAATTACTTATGGATGGGGTACAAATTGGCACAATTTCAGGAACGAGAGATCTTGAGCATATAATGTAAAGGAAAAAAAATGCAGTACTGAGAAGATGAAATTAGATGAAAATATAAAAGTATCGTCCAATTCTTACATTTTAGCTCTGAAAATTAGGTCAAATAATTTTTTCAGGTATCTGGCGCCTGATTATCAGTGAGAAATAATGAAAAATTAGATTTATGAGTTAAGTGGTCTCTCCTCAAAAAACCACGCTTATCATTTTTTCCAGTGAATTTAGTCGTTTTTTTTTCATTAGCAAGGAGACAACTGCTTACAACTCTTTTACATCGAAAGAACTGATCCACTAATATTAACTGATCCATACCGTCTTTGAATGATTGAATGAATGATAAACATTACGCATCTGAATAGAGGGCGGTATCAATATTTAGGGAAAGACTTGTGTTGGCCTACAACGCAGTGAAAAATTCCATGCAAGCTCTGTAATATAGAGTTGATCAGAAGAGCTATTTTTATCATCACGAGGGCCTTAACAAAGATGTGTGGTAACCGGCATGATGGAGCCATAATTGGTTTCCAGTAGATCAATGGTTGACCATTCGGACACCTGCGAAAGTATGATGCGAGACTGCTTGACATGTGTGTCCAGAGGAATTCTTTCGAGGTTTAATTATCGACTTTTATGGAATGATTGAAAATTTCCGATCATAAAATAACACAATAAAGCACCAAATAATGTTAGAATGTATAAGAATGGTGAAAAATTACCTCATCACGGATCGCTAGTCCACACAAGGTTACTTTATAGAATGAGCGGTAATTTACTTAGGACTTGATATATTATCATACAGGTTTTATACCATCCTACCGTGTATCCTTGTCAAAGATAGTTTTTTTTTTTTAGTAATCATATGTTGTCTGATTTATGATTTGCATCCTGCAGACCTTCTGACTTTATGAAGGAAACTTTTACAAATCCCATTGACCAGTCCCTGGCCCATTTACTTTTCAATACGGCTACAGATCCATTGCCAAGGTCTGACAACTTGCCCACGTCAATGGATCACGTCCCACAGTAAGCTTTCCGACAATTTTTAATGAATTTATTTTTAACATTATTTTCTAGTTTCAAAATTCTTCTAACTCATTTTCACTGTAGTGGCTTGAGCAGAATCATCCTAGAACCAATGCCTGGCGATTCTCGGTTGCTATGCCTTGAAGACTCTGTTTCTGACACTGAAAGGAGTATCTTACTGAGGAACAGACACCATTAGGTATCTCCAGATGTAATCAAGCATGAAGTAGTTTACGTCTGATCAAGAGCAGAGGTTTTAGCGTGCACAAGATCTGTTCAAATTCTTTCAAAAAATAATGAAATATATCATCATGATGTCATGAAAACATAATTGAAATTTCTCTAGTCAGTTCATCATTTATGTCGTTATGCTCTATTTTCTACTCCGTGGAGTAATGTTACAAAATCTATGAAAACTAAAAATTCTTCGTTTCATTTTATGAAATATCTTGAGCTCTGTTTACTGAAGGATGAATGAGTACTACAGAATTATTAAATATATATATATATACTCATATTAATAAAAAAAATCATGATTGTCGATATGTATAATTTCAGAATCCTATCGAAATTCACTCATAGTTTCCACACCAGCGAGAAGGATGAGTTTTCAATCTGATAACTAGGCCAGGTCCCAACGATCAAAAAATAAGCAGTTACAACTTGAAAATTGAAAGTACAGCTAGCCCAGTAGCCTGCTTGAAGCAATGGCTCAGCCCATCTTATGTTACAGGATCTAGATCATTAAAGTCAACATGGGTTTATAATGAGATTTCAGCCACAGTTTCAAACCAAGGACAAATAGTTGTCTACTGTAGAGTTCCTTATCAGTCTTAGAAAATAAGGTCAGTTTTGAGAAATCATTTAGGAAAAAATATAAAATCATCTATGGCTATTTAATGGAGTAGTTGGGGTGGGAGGATTTTTATTTGTCCCTAGGTCAGAAGACATAAAATTAGAAACTTTTCAAGATGATCACGTGAAATCACATCTTCAGATGACATGTGGGAGGGAGTTTTTATCAAGATTTCTGAGGCAGCTCAAAGTTCAATTCATCAAGAGTGGTGGAAACACTTATTATTATGATTAACTGCAAAGTCACTGTGACCATCGTTCCAGATGGAGATGTGTAGATCCACCGTGGGAATAGAATCTGTCATTGTAGTTAGCGGTTAAAATTACACCGAATGTATCAAAGGACAGAAAACTAGAAAAATCCAGCTAAAAAAATCTTCCTCTATAAACTGAAGAATGGGTGTGATAAGAAATTGGAGGGGATGGCGAGATGGTACGAGAGTTAAAATCTTAGGATTGAGTCAAGCGCAACTCTGAGGATGAGGCTGAACTGGTCCAAGAGAAAATAACATCCTTGGGAAAATAAAGCCCAGAAGAGACTTTGCAGCCGGCTAATTTTTTCCATTTTGGAGAAAGTCGGTTCCAGAAAGCACATTCCTCCTAGTGAATTTTTACAAGTTGATCATTGAAGAGCCATGGGAGCTTGAGGATGAGCTATCCATCCATACCTCCGAAAAGGCTATAATTTTCTTTCCAAGAATTAAACCACCACTCTATTTGATTGTTCTGTCTAATCATGTAACTCTATAACAAGATTTCCCAGTTACACTGTTATCTGGCTATCTTTTATTCATGAAATAGTTACAATCTCCTAATTAGTTAGCAGTACTTTGCTCATTAGTCAATCAATTTTTGGCATCCATGTTGAATGCATAGTCTCTTCTTGTTTTCCAATCATTAAAAGATGAGAAAATGAGAGGATTCTGCATTTATATTTTCCATTTCTCAAATGCAGAGGAAAATATAGCCGCCAGCTTGATACTAGAAGCGATGACTACCGAGGTTTATATTCTGTCATCGTCTGGTGTTGTGGCATACTAATCTTCTTGAATAAATCGAGTCCAAGGAAACCATTGTCCTTGATGATGCTCCCTTTACCCAGAATATGGCAAACTCACTTTCAAATTCATTAATAATATTCTTGAAAAACTACCAGCTTTGAAAAACATGAGGCTTGGGAATGCCGTGAAAATTACGCTATCTCAATTTTGGATACAATTTTTAATACCATTTTATATTTTCCTGGCGCTTTTAACACGTAGCATTTTTGTCTATAAGACCTAGGTTTGACATCCATATCAACAGAGCACATATTATACTTCATGGGAAGAACAAACTCTTGAGGATAAGGTATTCACGTTGACTATTTATCACTTTTCTTCTGTCCCAAGTTTCTAACGTCTAACATTAGTGGATCAGGAACAGTATCTCGAAAATAACATTGCATGGGCACACAAGAGGGGGTGAGACTTTCAGATGAGGATTCCAAGAGGAAGGAACTCGCTGTGAGTCCTCTCAGGCAGGGCTCTCTGTCCTTGCGATGGGGGTTAGGAGAGAGTGACAGCAGTCTAGAAGCTATCTTGCATCTATTCATGGGTGGTTTCAAACAACAGATTATCTGTTGTTTCTCTGAATACTGAGGATGAAGGCTATCAACCAAGAAAACAAAACGCGAGAACTGTCGATCTTACTGCCCATTAAGTCGGCTCCCTGTGCCAATGGATCTCAGCTATGTACACATCCCTGTGCCAAGAACACCAAAATCTCCTCTACTACGCTCATAACAAAAAAAGAAATATATAAAAGAAAAAAGGACTCGCCCAGGTGGTGCCACCAGGGCATGAGCCGAAGCATTGCTAGTTACTAAGACAGTGGCAGCTAATAATGACAGACAATATGAAGAAGGAAAGCCGGAGCCGGCAGCTTCAGAGACCACCACTTGAAGGGAGGGTGCTGTCGAGATTTGTGGGCATCAGAACGTTGAAACCATCTGCCGCAGTGGAGACGAGCATACCCGGGATCTGCTGGTGCCAGTGCAATTCCTTCAAATCCTTCTGACCCTGTTGATTTTATATATATATATATATTATTATTTTATTTACAGGAGACTGGATTAGCCATGGATGCACACCGTGCACTCAGCAAAACAGACGTACAAACATTATAGATTATAGTTTCCTCAGCCCTCTCGATGAAAACCACTTTATGATTGGGATGACACTGAAAAACTAAGTAAATTGACAAGGATTTGAACCCCGAATGAGATGAAAAATGGAAGTTCGACCCTGAAAAGGGGTGGGTTATTCGTGAATCAGATACCGAAAAGGGAGGGGACTTGTGGCTGAGAGGAAACCTGATGAACAAAAAGCAGCTGAGGTGGCAGGTTTTCTGGGGCGTTCACTTGGTCCTTCATGTTAGCTTTGAACTCAGCCTCATCCTCCTCGTCCCTTTCTAGTGATAGGTCCCATATCCTGGCAATTTTAGAACGAACAGTTTTCTTTATAAGACAGGGTCACACATATCATGCTCAATTCAAGCCAGCCCTGTGCAAACATGGACTTGTAAAAAATCTCACGTCAATTGATTGTCCGATGAAGTGACTGCCAGGGTTGATGATTCATGTGGACTCCATTCAATTGACGTGATGGGATGTTTGTGATACTCAAAGTGAGCAACAACGGCGTCTCCCTGCACATCAATCACAAAAATGCACAAGCAAATTGGGATAAGTCCCACCCATCTGGTTATCTCATTCATAAGAGCTTAGGACATCCCACTGACACCACTGGTAACATGAACATTGCAGAATTTGAAAACCACAATCATCTTTGCCAGCTTAATTTTACTATCTACCCTTTGAGATGATAAGGTTGCAACCGAAGGAGGCGTGTGGTGTTAATTATTCTGTCAAAATATTTACACACGTCCTCTACAAACCATTCACTCAAATGGTACAAACAGACTGATACTAGCAGCACCATCAAGTGCCGAGTTCAATACATGTTAATTGGGAAAAACCTAATCACCAGTTTTCTGGAGAAGATATGGGAAGAAAATAGGTTGACAGACAGTCACTACAGCCGGTAATCGACTTTGGGGACTACCAAACCTAACCATTCACAAACTGCTAGCCAGCGTCATCTGATTTCTTTTCCTGGATCAGTTCGATGACTAGCTTTTTCATATGCATATATATATATATATATGAAAAATATATGAATAATTTCATAATCTAGAAATATTTCTATTTAATTTATTATTTAGAAGTATTTCATGGATGTTATTATGAATATGATCACGTCTGGCTGAACATGGCAAAAAATGGTAGAAGCAACCTACACCATTTGCATGAACGCAACTTCACCTTCTTGGATGCTTAAAGGGTCGGCTCACAAATGTATTCAGACATTCACTCAAACCCCAATACAGGAGAATGTTGACCGTTGGCTTGCCAAGGCAGCCTGAACACCTTTTGGCGCTCGAGATCGCCACGGCCTTCAATACTACGGGGTTAAGTACCAAATTTTCACCATAAAACTATACGCATGGTTGCAAAAAGTTTAAAAATATTAACTTTAAAATCGCAAGGACAACGGTAGGCTGATGATAATGTAAAGAAAATGATGAGTATCGGCAGCCTGAACGAAATCAAACTGATTATTTTCTTTCATAATTTCCATAAATAAATAATTTCTGCTTTCATAATGACAGGGTATGTATACATGAGTCGGACAGGTTTTAAAAATATAGGCCTGGAATCTTACTTTTCCCTTTTGGAATAATCAATAACTACACTAACTAAAGCCCTTTGAAGCAAGAAATCTAATAAGGTTGAGGGCAGTATCCAAAGTAACAGAAGGTACCTTGATCAATCTGAGATCACGAACAGAAAACGCTCCATCGTCACTTCCAGAAGCTAACATACAACTAGCAAGCCTATTATTCGAAAAAGATACTAGATGTAAGTTCCACAAAGCCATGCGATTGTATTTCAAGAAGGCCAAAAATATGAGAAGTGAGATAAAGTTCACCTATTCCATGAGATGACATTAATGTCCGACGCATGTGCTTCTACAGAAATAGCTGGTGATTTCCCAATACGCGTGTCCCAGATTGCAACCTTTTTATCAACTGAACAGGAAGCAAAAACGTCCGACTCTGTCGGGCTCCACTACAAGGGCAAATAGAGATGGATGATGTCAATGTTCGAAAATTATGAAGTTAACATCAAGAAATATCGATGAAGAAAATAATACTAGGGTAAAGAACAAGATTCATGGAGTTGAACCAGAAAGGAAACGCACCTGTAGATCTTCGACACTGGCTGTATGTCCAACAAATGGCTTTATATCCACATTCCATGTTCCAGATGAAGGCTCCCAAAGATGAATACAATTGTTGCAATCACCTTTAAAGAACAACATATTAAGTGTGAAGACATTCGAATTCCAACAAAAAAAAAGAAAAACCACAAAGAGGCCATAAAACAAAAGAAAAGTGGGTAGGATGAATTCAAACCGATGCAAAAAATGAGGTAAAAGCATTGAAATAATGTCTGGAGAAGAATTTAGAGGTGTCTGCTGTACAACAAATTGTAAATACTCTTTGGGCATGAGAGAAATGGTTACTTCAGTTTTGGTAATAAAACGTGCAAAGCTTCAGAAGATAGAAAATGAGCATAACGACCAGAAAATACCAGAGACAAGTCTTCCAGGAACGACAGGACTCCAGTCTATAGCAAAACCTTCCGTTTTGTGCCCTTTGAATTTAGTTATTGGAGAGAGATTCTGAATTGCACTGGGCCCCTTGTTCGTTTCTGATTCAGATTCAGCTAAGATATTTAAAGCAGAGCTCAAGTCCCAGACCTGCGTTTTATACAGAGCCTATGATGAGCAGCAAATCTACATATTCTGTAGAAGAAGAAACAAATAACAAAGCAGCTGAAATTCTACAAGCCGTGGACCCCAATCCGAAGGAACCCCATTTCATACGAAGAATATTTATCATCCATGCGCTAGGACTAAATTTTTAACTCAGACTTACTGTTTAAAATGTTCAATAAACCATGGAATAAGATGTCATAGCCTTCTTTTGTATGCGTAAATACAGGTGTATGAAATTATCTAGACAAAGCCAACTAACCTGAACATAGCCTTCCTCTGCCCAAGATGCACATATGTGAGGCTTTTGAGACATTGAGCGAATCCGGTTGACACAACCCTGATGGGCAACCTTTTGCAGCTATTGACAAGAAAAATATTGGGGAAATCCCAAAAATAAATGAGCAAAATTTGCGCCTCCTCAAAGAAAGCTAGGTTTCATCTAAGAACGTCCACTCATAAAAATATGTTCGAAAAAAAGCTCTCACCTGTAATATAGGCTGCGAAGCTTTATCGTTGTTGTCATCGTCATCGTCTTCATCACTGCTACTCTCACTTTCCATATCAGCATCATCATCAATGGATGGCTTTGGCACCAAGTCGCGCTTTTTTCCAAAAATGTTCGATAGTTTAAATAATCCAATATAATTCCACGATGGTTTCTCAGCCTGAAAGAAATAAGAATGCCATGAAAAATGACTGAAGGAAATAATTGAGTCTACTGAGAAAGAATCAGAAAATAATACACTTGAGACTCCTTTGATCAACTTAAATGGTCAACTCTAGATAAACATAAAACATTCCCAGGCTGTTTATCAACAGATGAAGCAAAGCATCACTCAAGAGAAGTCAGACGCATGGAAAGGCTATGAAATTTTCAAAACAGCACAAAATCCCGTGGGAATGATAATTATACCTGAGTTCCGGCAACACCATAAACAGTATGCGGAAATTCCGTCCGGATTAACCCCAGCGAATCACGCACGATATCGAAGCTATCACACAATAAGATCATAAATGTGAGGGCCAATGTGGAACAGATGAAAACAGAAGAAACCAGGAAAAGAAAATTTATCCTAGGCACCAACCTCAGGCATGGCCAACCAATGTCAAAGGCTCGGAGGTAGTTGTAGGCAGAAGGATCACACTGGAGCTCCTCCCCCTCCTCCAGCTTGTCCACACCCGGCTGCCATACCTGAAAAGGGGGGGAGGGGGGAATCAACTTGGAGTGAAAACGATACAGCATCCCAAAGAAACCCAATACATCATCGAGAGAAATATTCTGTGCTCCGCAATAATTGACACTCCTCAATTCAAAAGCTCGTGCTGATAGTAAGATGAGATCAGGAGGTCAATAACTTGTAAACCGGCACAAATGGAAGATCTTTAAATAATATCTTTGTACTCTGTGCGGTTCTTCTTATGGCTCTTACCTTTGCAGAAACAGGTGGCACAGACGATGAGGAGTCCCCCTTCTTGCTGGAACTCTGAAGGCATGACGATCTTTAATGTCAACAAATAAAGAAGGCGAGTAATTATAGATGAAGGGAGAGAGATGAGAATACCCGGTTCTTCTTCCTCATCTTCTTCGCACTCTTGAGGCTGCGAACCATCTTCTTTCTCTTTGCAGGTGCAGGTGCAGCCGCTGAAGTTCACAGGTGTACCTTCACTGGGAGGAAAGTGGGGTTTTACGAGCGGGGCAAAAATACTGGGAGAAAACCAAAAAAACGCTAAAATATGGTCGACAGACTTCCAATATTGATGCAAACGTGTCTTCTCCACCGTGCAGGAATCACAGCAGACGAAACATGCTGAGGAACCAAACGCACCTACCTGGTGGGCTGTGAGGAACGAAGGCCACCCGTCAGCCACCGCCGCCGGGACGAGGGACCGCAGTCGACGCCGCACTCGAGCCGAGAGAAGAGAGACGGCGGCGCGGGAGAGAGAGAGAGAGAGAGAGCGTATAAACCGCAACGAGGGAGGATGTTACCCCCAAAGCTTTTCGCATCCGGGGAAGTTGATAGGATCCGAACCGATAGCAGGAGATTGAGAGGGAACACTTCGACAAAACCCCAATAAAAATGGCTTTTTTATTGAAAATATTTCTGACCCCTTAATTTTTCTTTTGCAATTGTTTACAATCACATACAAAGATATTACTTACAAAGACAGACCAAAATAAAATAAAACATTATCTACGATAGAAATAACCCACCCTAGTACCAATAATTACTTTATTAGGTATTTTCTAAAGAACTATACTTACATTAGCTACTCAAGTACAATAAATTTATTGACAGATTATTGCATTTACTACTCTTTAGACATAAGAGAAAGTGCTAAATCGGAATTGGAATCCACCCTCCACCCCCCTCCCCATCCCTAACAAGAAATGATACATTAGGCATTTATCCTAATCTAGATTAGTTAATGCCCTCAAACGTTGATTGATTATATACAGCATACTCTGTTGTGATAGTCCCCAAGAGCTTATCTCTACTTTGATGGGTTTTATGTTCAATCTCGTTGTGATGCTAAAAAATGGGTCCCATCACAAAATTTCACTACATGAAATCAACTGTGAAATGTATAAATACGATGATATCCTCTTCTATTAACCTTAAAATTTTCTGATTTTTTCAAGTCCAAAAAGAAAAAGCTCACACACATGGCATTTACTTTCTTGGCCTTCAAGCATGAGTGTTGCCATTTCTAGGAGCTTACTCAAAAAACTAATTGAACCAAAAAAGTTCACACAAGGGAGATCCAAATTTGTTGGAATTTATTTTTTTCATTTAATCCATCTAAAAGGTCCTCAATTTTAGAGGGTTACGACTTATTGTGAGTATTGGGTGAACCTACAGATTCTCTGGAGCCATTAATTTAGAAATAATGAGCTTACAAACTGGCCTAAAGAAAAAGGTCATGTGATGCCTTGGCTTTAGTTGAACTTACAAGTGAGTCACTTAAAAGAGTAGAACAAGCAAGGGACCAGAAATGAGTAACATATTTTCTTTATATTTCCAAATATATATTCATAATATAACCAACACCTTGTGATCTTAGGCCTCACCAAAAGGCCAGTTCAACTAAGGCTATTATTAAAGGCTTACTTTAGATGGGAATTCAAATTAGTAAATTTAAATTTCATGTTGTATTGACCCTAAATGGGTCATAATAGGAATCAAAATTAGGGTTATTTTCCCCAGGGATAAGCTACTACCATCTTTTAGTTTTGGTTGTGACTAATCAAGAGATCCAACTCCCAAAGTATTCTCCTCTTGCAAAAAATAAAAAAAGAGGTTGATGGTTATTGCTGTTAGGCTCCATTGACTATGCCACTATTGAAACTAACCCTCTCTTTATTAGGTTTTTTTCTTTCTTTTAACAAATGATGAAAGTCTAGACATAAGGTCAAGCCTCCATACTAGATACCCAACAGTAGCTATCATGGGGTTGACATGGTGAAGCGATATTTCCCAAGTGGAGCATCATAGCCAATGAGTAACTCAGTAAGATGCTACACAATCAACATATACAATATAATAAGTGTGCATGGTATGGTGGACATGCATAATACAACAGGTGCATACACATCTTATGGGAGTTGACGCTCATCTCTTTAGTATCTCATGACTTGTGGCAATCATGTGGTGCTTTCATCACTACAATGATGATTGGGAGACACATAATGCTTAGCCCACATAGCTCCACCTACCCCCATGACCATAATCCTACTAGGAAGTTGAAGAGAGTCTATCCATCTCAAACATACTATGTACCTTAAAATGATCCCATTTGTGTACACCCTCTCCTTCTCAGATGTCTGGTTCACCTAGAGATATTGATTGAGATCCCATTAAAAAAAATTAATATCCTAAACATCCCTGAAGCTTGTAAATTATGTTCATTCTAGGATCTTGATTTGTGTCACACTTCTCTTTGTTGTCGCATTGGTTTTATGTATTTCAGTAGTGCCTTCGTGATATTATTCACTACTTTACATAAACTTTCTCGATCAACATCCTTTGTCTATACAGTTGTGAATGAGCAATGCCTTCACAAGTCATTGTCCACAGATCCTCAAACCATTATTTTGATGTTTAGAAGTGGGTAATGATCTCTAGAATTTGAACCTCATTAGCCTCTACTATCACAATGAAGCTAGCCATCTTCTCAAGATGAGCAATTCTGTAACCATTGGTTCTTCTCTTCTCAACCATGATACACCATTGTTGTCTATAGATCCTCAAACCATTATTTTGATGTTCTGAAGTGGGTAGTGATTTATTGAATTTGAGTCTCATGAGCCTCTATGATTACAATAAAGCTATTCATCTTCTTCTCAAGATGGGCAGTTCACTAACGATTGGTTTTGCTCTTCTCAACCATCTTTTTTAAAAGAGTAAGAAAGAATAAGAAAGTACTAACTTTACTTGGATGACATAATTGAGCTCGAATATTGGTTAATAATTGAATGGTTGTCACACGGATGATTAATAGAATTCTTCAACCATATGTTGGCATTGAGCATCCTCGTGATCTAAATCAGCTAAACACTTTATGACTAGAAGTTTTAGCTCATATGACAAAACTTCTATCGCATTACTCAAAGCGATGTTTACGTTAGGTGCATAACCTTTATAATAGAGGGGCTTAGGCCCCTACATTATTAGAATAAATTATGCAAAATTAATATTTGGTCCCACTTTTAATCACCATTGACATCATGCATGACATTACATTGTACTGTAGAGGTCATGATAAGAACCCATTGTGCATTACCAAGCTACCTATCAGCTGAGATGTTCCATTGAAGAAATCTCACCTCACCATATCAACCCCATGACAATAACCCATATTTCACAAACTCACTTTTAAAATATGTACTTAGTGGAAGCCACTTATACTAAAGGAGTTGACTTGGATATGCAGCTCATTTTCTTAAACCACATGAAAATAAATTAATTCAATAGCCAATCAATTAAAAACATTGGACTTTTGCTATGGATTGATAAAAGTATTTATCATCATTTTTCTGTCCTGATGATTATGAGAAGTGGCAATTTTACCCTTATTTTATGCTCAATTTTAAACTCAATACAGAACATGCCCATGGTATGATTTTGACCCATCCTTGCATACGGGCAGTCCTTCCTTGTTCTTTCAAAATTTTCTTTGCAATATCAATGTGATATATAAAATATAAATCTAAGTCATCAAACACGTTAAAAAATTGATTCAATTCCTTAATTTAAGAAGTTGGTGAATAAAACATTCACCTCACTTGTCAAGATCTTCTCAAGCTTAGAAGCAGAGGAATTCAATCTTCCTCAATATAGCAAGAATCATAAGGCTAACTTGTCGAGGTGATTAATCGTTAGTAGGAATAGATCCAATTAACCACCATTGATTACAATGTAGTTTTCAAATCAGGTAGGAGCCATTCATCCCAGGTCTTACATGCAGCGTAGTACTCAATAATTACTAAAGCGCATCATCTCTCCAAAATATAGCCCAATGCTAGCCAGCTTTCACAAGGCATGGAGGACAGTGAGGGCCCCAAAAGGTAGCCCCAGACGAAAACCCTCTGAAGCCCTACCCTGGCCCAGCCTTCATGCACCAATTCTAGAGAGAGGAAGAGAGTAATGGTCAAGGAGGCATACCGGACTCAGATAGGGACCAGAATATTCCAGCCCTATCTAGATATACATTGGCGCCCCTGCTACACCGGCTGCATCAGTGTAGTTGACGTGGAGACAAGTAGACAGAAATCTTGTCGGCGACAGAAGAATTGATGGGCCCATAATTTTACAGAGGGTTAAGAAGGGCACTTCTCTCTCCTCATGCTCGCGACTACAAGGGCATTGGAGATGAAGAAAACAGGTTTTCTTTAAAAGAGAAGAGGAAGAGAGAGAGAGAGAGTATGAGACCTGTAATCTTCTTTGTCAGGTCGCCATCTCCGAGAGGATGAATGTGAAGACAGAGAGGGCATCCTGCAGGTGGCGGCTGCGAAGGTCCTCCGGGGTCGGGGCGCCGAGCAACGTCTCGAAGCAGCTCATCTGGACAGATGGCGACGAGCCCTCAGCGGGGAGAGACACCAACAGCCTACAGAGCTCTTCCGCCATCTTCGAGTAGGCAGCCCTTAAAACAAGACGAAACCTCCTCAGATGTGGTGACCTTCATAATCCCAAGATAATCCCTCAGAAAAATGCCAAAAACCCTTTTTCTTGGACCCAAAACAAGTAATCACCGAGAAGAGATTAGATAGAAAAATGGCTCCAATATGGCTGGAAACAAAGCTTGGGCTTCAGAACCAAGCCCGGGAACTTGAGAAAAATAGCTCATACATGCACGCTTGGAGATAGCATGAGAGGATGTATACCTTGCATCAACAGGGATTCTGCTCCCCCAGGCAGACAACGATTCTTTCAGACGACCGAATAAACTTCTGCACGCATGATCTTTCTCCTCGAGCGACTCCTGTTGAGATTTCAGATTTGCCCAAATAAGAGGAAAAGTACTTGAGAGGAAGCACTTGAGACTTTTATGGAAAATAATGCGTGTAAAGTCCAGAGGCAAGATCATATCCTGGTCAGAGCTTCATGAGCATAGACCATCCTAGGAATTCATCAGGAAATTAAAGACTGAATCCACTGACGCATGAGAAAGAACAGCAGCTCTTGTCTGTGTGTTTCACCCAATTTAACTAAGAAATGCTAAAGGCCGTTTTGCAACCTTTTGAGGATTTCAGTCAGTCTCCATGTGTGTTCTATATGGCTTGGTTTTATCTGGTCCAGAACTGGACCCAATGGGAACCATTGATCTGGCACTGAAAACTGGTAAATTGACCATTCAACCTGGTCTAGTTCAGCGGGTTCCAACCTGTTCAACCAATTCTTATTGCCTCGGCAGTGATTGAGATCCCATCAGATTTCATGTATGGTGTGGCGCACACACTGTTCATGCTCCACGCCTTAATGCCCACGGCACGAAAATAAACCAATCATCAAGACACAGAATTATCCCTACGTTGGAGCGCACAGATAGAAATTTCTCGCTGCGTCAAAACTCTGGAACATTGGGGAAGAACACGAAACAGGCAAATTTAGGTGTGCATTAAAATGAACGAAAGTTAGGGAAATTGAGGTAGTTCCAGAGCAGGAAATACCCAAAATGGAAATAGGCTTGTACACCCATGGTTCCTGTACAGTCACTTTCTGTGTATCTCAAGAATATTCCCCAGTACACAACTGATTATGATCTTCACAATAATTTAGAGAAGGTTGAAAGGTGTATGTTGAAAAGAAATAGCAATGCTGTCAAACGCCAGCAATGCATCTCATGGCCTGCCAGTAAGCTGAGCCAAACTCAAGACAACTTTTGAGCCCAAATGACTTCATCACGCCTCATGACGCATCCCCTTTGATATGATAAATGTCGCAATATGCCCTTCTTTTTCCGCAATATGAAGCTTGCAAGTATCATTGCTACACCTTCACCAACAATAGCCGTCATGGCATCAACATGAAACCCTGGAATGATCGCCATTACTCCACCATCACTGCCTTCCACCCCCAGAATGCTACCACTCTCATGATGGCACTAAGCCTCTATGACCAGGCATGCTTCCTCCCTCCAATTTCCCCTTTTCACGGGATATGACATGACCCACATCATACAGAGAGGAGAAGATCACTGGTTCTGAATACGACCAAGAATGTCCACGCAGGATCAAGCCTATACTCTTGAAAACGTTAAGATTGGGCAATTTATACTGCGAGGGCTAGATGACTGCCAGTAAAGGTTGCATTGAAATTTGTTATTTGAATCAGAGAACATAAAGGCAGGACTGAAATTCTGACTAGTAATTGACAGGGATGAAAGGATTTGAACCCGTTACATCTTTTACCCAAGCCAAATGCTCCACCAAGCAGCACTAGATCCTCCCTTTTGACATACTCCTAGTTTTTTTAAATGAAAAAAAAAAAATCTCAATATCCTGTTGGGTTATTCTCTATTCATTGGATCAAGCATTGTCGGTTCTTAGACTCTTTAGTATAAGAAACTTGCAACTAGAATGCACCACTAAACTCTTTGATGCCCTGTAGCAAACCATACCTTAGTAAGTATGGTCATGGTATCCCCTGCGCTCATATCTGAGATTATCTTACTTCCATTTCAATTTAGGCGGACGATGTTCTGACTCTAAGAACATATACCAAAGAATATTTTTCGCAGGTCACCATGATCCCCTCTAGTATCTTAAAACTCATACTTTTTTCTTATCCCCTCAAGTCAACAGGATGCTCCAGATATTCTCAAGTCCATATAACTCTCAATCCTCAGGAACCTCTTGCACAGTTGCTCTAAAGGAGAAACCAGGCGAAAAAATGAAGCATCGATAACCAACTGGGATCAAATGCTCTGACTTCATCAACATCAAATATAGGAAAAATATGCAGATTATGGATTTTAAAGGAGAAGGTAAGGAGCTCATTCATGTAACAATTACTAGTTATTCATTTTTGACAGTAAAGGGCTTATATAATTTGTGTATAAGATAAGACATTTTCATTTTTGACATTTTCAATGATAGCGACATGAATCTAGTCTTACCAGTTCACTGATGGTATTCTCCTGCAGAAAACTTTTTATAGTGTAAAAATCAATATAGATTCCAGCTCCTAAATCCCAATCTGCTATTTCTGCCTTATGAACCTCCATGATACCCGCTAGTCTCCAAATTTCGGCATGCTTCGCTAAAAAAACAAACAAATGAATTCAGAAATATTCAAATAATACTTAGACAGCTAATTGAGGTAAAACACTACAAATATTAGTGTTTCAGTGGAATCATGGGACACAATTGTGAATGCAAGTAGAGACAACAAATAACAAATGCACTCCATCACTACTTAAAGCCACATGTTTTCACTTAAAACTGTAAAAATTATTTCATATAATTCGTGTCACCATGTCAAAATTGTCAAACAAGTCAAAATGCGCAAATATCAACACTGAAGTGAGAAGACCTTTAAAAATTGATATTTGAACTACATTTGAAGTCCAATAGCTTCATTTTGAACATGAAAGGAATAAAAATCGATTGCTTCTTTTTCTGTTCGCTCAATCAAAAAATGAGCATTTAAGAAACAAAATCAGAATGAATGCAGCCTTTACAAAAAAATCTACACTTAATGCATTATCAGGGATTTGAATCAGGACAATCTATTATCAAAAGGCACCCAACATTCATTTTAAGGATAAATGAATATCATATAGAAATCACAGTCGCCCATATTTAAACAAAAACAAACGACATAGTGCTCTTGAACTCAATGAACGTAGTATCTCTACCTGTGTTTGATATTGATTACAAGATTTATTGGTTTCTTTTTGCTTTTTTAACCTGTTCATATTTGTTTTTGCATGCACGAGCGATAAGAAAAGATAGCAAGCTCATTCAATCAATTTAAGGTCAGATAGATTGAACAAAGAGTCAAAGGACCTTCCCTTCTATTTTGCAATTTAAGTCCCATAGGATGTGGTGTAGGGTATCCCAGGTATAGGAACATTCAACCTTCAGGTAGAAACTAGGGTCTAGATCACTAAGGTGAAGTTTCCCAATCGGCTGATCAGGGACACATTGCACTGACTGATCAATCTTGCAAAAGTTCCCCTAAGAAAATATTTTCGGAAGAAAATAGGCGACGAGAAAAAAGGGAAACTCAGATCTTCAAAAAACTGTTAGACTTAGAATGAATAGAAAAATATTCTTCAAAACATCGACACCACACACTTCGTAATTACAAACGGTAATACAGCAAAAGGCATACACCATCTCAAAATCGAAAAAAAAAAAAAAAAAGGACAAGAATCTATTGGTAGTTAGCTTGAATAACATTAAAAAATATCTAGGTCCGCAGGAATCATTCAAGTCTCTACCATAACAAATTGTATAGATTCTGCACCTATATTTTCATGCCTAAAGTTTTTCCCTTATGGAGAGATGAAAATTTGCAACCAAAAATTCCAACAGATAGTTATTGGTGTCAACACCTTCATTCTTAGATACTTACACGTCTTGAAGCACTACCTGGCCTGAAGGCCACTACCTCTCCCAGCCCCCATCATGGTCCACTTCCTGGCCTGAAGAGTTTCTCATCGCATGTCAATAAAATCTTCCATTCCACTAACCAACCAGCTTGCCACTTCAGCCACTATCTTTCCCCATACATTCTTATAGCCCTACCATCAACAGTCTCTGACGTCTTCAAGATAACAACTTCAAAGATACATGTGTTTCCAAGCTATCATTTCAGCTTGTCTAGACCTGTTTTTCAAATAGAAGAGGAAAGAAAGAGAATAACTTGGACTAAGGAGAAAAAGACCATCTAAAGACAGCCCTTGGTCTCACTTATGCCACTCCCAAAACCCCATTCCATTTCAACTTAAAACGCACTCATAGCACAATTTCCTTTACAGGTGAATCAAGCCGAAAAGTGGGCAAATCCACATGTGGATACGTAACTTGTAAAGTTAAATGGAAAGTATCAACCACAGATGGCACCCATCGAATGAGAAAAGAAAAGATCGCATTTATTCGTTGTTGACCATATACTCACATGATAAAAATAATGAATGAGCCACTGAAGTCATAAAAACTGTGTGGGATTTTTGCCAGTTGCGACAGTCAAGAAAATGATCTAGAGCCGCAGGCAGATCACCTTGGTACTCAAAATATATTGCCTGCACCAATCAGAAAAAAATTAGGACCTTGTACGGACGTGGGAAAATATTATTAATAAGAAAATAAGCATATATATAGTAATCAGAGAATACTAATGAGAATATAACTGCAGTGAGACTGTAAAACAGACAAGCCATCACTTGGAGAAAAAAACAATTTAAACATGACCCTAAACACCATATTATCTGCCTAAAGGGAGTGACTGAATCATGGAACTGAAAAGAGTTCTTGGATAGTATGTGATGATGTGAGAGGTTGGTCAAATGTCATGGAGGTATCATCGGCCAATGCCTAAACTACCTTGAATATGGGCTTTACATGAGTGAAGAGAGAGATCACGTTGACGAACATCCTCATAGTACAACAAAATGAAAATTAAAAAAAAACGGAAGGTAATAGCTGTTCATACAAAAAAACGGAAGGGAGACCAATTCTATTCTTCAGTAATGAAAAATACAACCATGAGAAAAAAATTGCGTTTCATACATATTTTCCCAACCCGTTAGATGAAAAAGTAAGCAGTGTAACCAAGGTAATAGCTGTCTGAGAAATAATCTTACCAATGCTTCATCCATCCAAGCTGATGGTACACCAAGATCCACAATGAACTGTTTTTGTACTGCCTGTGTATTCCACGTTTCACAATATCGAAATAATATTTCCCTGACAAGACTAGCCTGCACATGAGGGAAATCCTCACTATGAGACATGTGAAGAGCAACATAGATTGCCCAGTGACAAAGTCCAAGAGATAGCAACTGAGAAACAAGACTCAAGTCAAGCAAATGCAGGTCACTTGAAGTAAAAGTGCCTATAGCTTCCAAGACTGCCCTGTAATGCCAGATCATATGGTAGTCAAGTGGATCAGGAGTAGAAGAAAAGGCACTGAACATAGTTTTTAGATCGCCAAAATGTCCCTCATCATTAGCATGAAGAAGCATGAGGTAGTAAGTGATGTCAAAACGGTCACCAACATTCCAGCTCATTGTCTTTTCAAGTGGTCCTTCATCAATGTACACCGGCACAGGGAAAGGAGCCTTTCCTTCACTGACAAGCTGTTCATAATTATGAACAATGAAGGATAGAGAAGTATCAGGCGGCAAATGGTACCACATCACTAACCCAAGGTATCTTTTCCAATCAATTTTAGTATCATGAAAAGCACCTTGAACATGACCAGAGAGCAGTTCGTATAATTTCAACCTTTCATTTTCAATAAAATTGAAATCAAGGCCATTTATTCTCCAGAGGTCTAGTTGTCGAGCAACATCAGACCGATTAACCATTGATCCACCAGCCTGACTCAGCAAAATGGCCAATCTCACATCTCCAGATGAAGCGGCCAATTCCACAGCCGTCTCTAACTGCCTGCCTGTCAGGAGTAGGAGCAAGTGAGATAAAAAGTTGGATCCATTTAAGCCGCTGACATCTTCCTGTACACGATGACGGACACTCTCTTGCAACCAGTAGCTGAAATTGGCTCTTCTAATCAAGTGGCTTGCAGCTAGATCCACATCAGAAGACATGTCTTTCTTGTCAAGTGCCATGTCGTCTTCTTCAGGATCAATTAGAGGAGGCGATTGCCCATCAACTACCCTATCTGAAAACAGAACTCTTATCAACTCCCAAACCGTAACTTGATGCATCAAGATGACACGAGAAGATGCAGATAAACTAGGGACATCGAGTTGCCTCTCTACAATCTCAATAAACCCCCGACAGATCTCTGGAAGAGTAAAGCGATCAGCTACAATCTTTTGGATCCGGATGTCGCATGGTTCCGATCCAATCTGCTTAAATTCATGATCTAAAGACATATGCAGCTTCAGTGGTGATACGAAAAAAAGATCAACAAGGTCCTCCTTCACCTTACCATTTTCATCTCTAGCCGCTGCATCTAATGTCACCTTTTCAAAATGAATCATAGAAGACAATCCATTCCTGGGTTTACCAACCGGTGTGCCAGAGTGCACGAGGATACCATTTGGTCCCCACCCAACACGAAAGGATCTACCCATAAGCAACGCAGCATCAACAATGTTAGCAGAATAGCTACCCGTCAATGGTGTCCCTTGCTTTGCATCCAGTTTGAAGCCTTCTGCCTTAGTAATTCTCACCGGAAAACCCCTTGCCTGCCGATTCATAAGAATGTTTCCAGACAATTGGCGGTCAGAGCTATTTGCATCATATTCCAAAAGAGCTACCGGTGCCTTCCTCATGGGACTCATTTTCTGGGCGGAAGCCTGTGAAGGAGACCTATGGATGGAAGTTCTTGCACGAGAACTGGGTGAATCTGAAAGTAAATTGTCTTTGCCCCAGCATCCTTTATCTACCGCAATGGAAGCTTCCAAATCTTCACGTTCATCTTCTCCTGAGAACATCAGCATGCGCATCTCTTGCATCTTTAGAGGATCAAGCCCCAAATGAGCTGGGAGTGAATGTGACAGGCTAAATGCTGCGGGAGGATTCGCTTGAGGCTCTTCCATATTCGCATCTGATAAAAGCTGAGTTTCATCCATAAGAACATCTTCTTCCTCTGCGTCGTCATCATCATCGATCAAACCGAATCTGCTGAAATGACGAACCACGAATTTCCACTCACGCTTTATCGGGTCGAAAGAAACAAAGCGAGCTCCCTGCTGCTCGCTGACACGCTTCAACTTCCCCACGAGCGCGTCCAGCCCCGCCCCCTGTAAATCTCCCAACCCGACCTTGAGGAACAAAGACACTTGTGCGGCTTTGTTGAGCCCATGACCAACCGGGGGCTTATCACCCTCGTCCTCGTAGACCACCACCGAGTGCCTGCCAAACTTAACGATCTTCTCCAAATCCAGCCAACTAACATCAGTCGTCCCGAAGAATTTCACCTTCCCGTAACCAACTCTCCCGATTACGAAGTCCGGCACTCTACAACAGTACCCTTCTTCCGCAGACTCCCTGAAGGCAATCTCGCTTACGGAGGGACGAGTGTAATAATCGGGAGAACGCAGACGGGGCAAGAAAACCGGCAAACCAGCATCCTGAGAGCCCCCTTCGAATGCAAGAGACATCCCAGAATCGACCCTGTCCTCAACCAAGGCACCTCGAAGCGCAGGAAGAGGAGACGGATTTAGAAGGGAGAGCCCTACTCGACTTCGCCGCGAATCCGGTGCGTCGATGCTCAGCATTTCCAGCTCGCAGAGAACAGATAGAGCAGGAAAGGAAGGCCGGCTCACCTACCTCAACCTACGCCGCGCCAGAGCTCAGAGGGTGCCATGTTTGGGATCGTCGGGAAGGGACGGAGGCGGCCATGCTCGGCGGAGCAACCGTCTCCCACTTTGCCAGGCAGCCTGTGAAGGAGAGAGGGAATGAATGTGCGAATGAGGGGGAAGGGGGAGCTGCCGGGGTTAGGGCGGCAAAACGGAGAAGATGATCATTTTCAGATTGGGCCTTTTTCCCAACTTTCGTTGTTGGATTGTCCTATCCTTATTGGGCTTTCCTCTGATTCAAGATCCTCCTCCCCTATTCCTATTGGGCTTTCCCCTCATTCTGGATCCTCCTCTTCCTTAATGGGCTTGTATCTCTTTCCTATTCTTACCGGGCTCTCTTCTTTTCGATCCTCGCTCTCTTAGTGGGCTTTTTCTCCACTATTGTTATTTATTTCCTATTCTTGTTGGGCTTTGTCTCTGTTTCTTTATCCTCTCCCCAGTCATCAGGCATCTCCGTCGTTTTGGATTTTCCTCTCTCTCTCTCTCTCTCTCTCTCTCTCCCCTCTCTCTCTCCTTTTTCTCAACCATTTAACACCTTCAGAGGGACTTTCTTTCGCTTTTGGGTCTCCTCCTCTTACTGGATTTTAAATTTTCTTCCCTCCACGTTTAATAAAACAAGGAATTATTATTTTTACTTGTATTATTCAAAAACTACTAAATACGGTAAGAAATAATAGCCCACTAAAAAAATAAATACCGACAAGAGACTTAACCCGCCTTGAACGAGGCAATAAAATAAATCACAGTCAACTGATATTTTTTTTAAACCCCCCCCCAAAATAAATAAGGCGAAAAATAAAGTGTAAGTATATGTACAGTTGACCATATTTTTACCCAGTTTGGGTATGCCATCAGAATAAAAAAATATATTTCATTAATCGTGCTGTTCAAACAGTTAAATAAGGTAAAAAAACACCTGTTTTCTAAGAAAATAGAGTGGACTAGATTTTTTTTTACACGTTTTTTTAACAGATAATTTATAGAACAAAATAGGCAATTAAAGGATATTTACTAAAACCAGTTAATAAGGTGAAAATGCCATTTTCAAATATATATAATCGACTTCAGATTTTACCTATTTAGAGCAACGGATTATCTTCTTGGAATGCAGAAAATAATAAATAAATTATTATGTACGCACGCTACGATGGAGCCTGAAGAGGTGGCCCGACAGAGTCAACTCTAGGCGGAACCTGGATTGACAACCACCACTTACCCCTCCTCCATCCAGAAGAATATACTACTTTTGGGAAAATATCCGAAAGTCAACGAGATCCACAAAGAGCCCGCATACAGAAGCAGTTGACCTATCTACAACATATAAACCTCCCCACCGGAGGACAGAAGCAGCAGAATAATACAGAGGCGGGAGGGATCTTACCACGGCCGCAGATCAAAACTGCCGGGCTTTCCTATCGAGCGTTGACTTAGAACGAAACAACAACAGGAGCGAGTCATTTCTTCAGCAGGTTGAAGATCCTCTTGCAGTAGGGGCTCGTCCTGAGGACCCCCTCGTGGGCCCGGATGGCCTCCACCAGCGAGTTCCGCGCCTGGCCCTGAGACCCCGACAAAGTCAACCAAGAGATATAAAGACTGTCGAGAGAGAGAGTAGAGAGAGAAAGGGGGGGGGATTTACCTTGGAAGTGAGGAGTGCGGATTGGATGACGTAGTTGGCGTAGGGGTCTTGGAGGAGGTGGTCGAAGAAGGGGACGGAGAGGAGCTCGGAGAGGATCTGACGGCGGGAGGGCTCGTCGAAGACGGAGAGGCACTTCTCGACGACGTTGCTGCTGAATTTCTGCGTCGAGAGCTCAACGTAGCTCCCCTCGAAGGAGGACTTGAGGCCGTTGACCGCTGCCGGGTCCCTCATGTCCAGCACGTACTGGACGGCGTAGTTCCTGAGAAGGAAGAAGCAGGAGAAGGCCCCAGCCGGAGAATTATCCAAATGAAATTGGCAGATCGAAGAAGGATTCTTTGTCTGGAAAATTTCTACGAACAAGAAGGAAAACGTGGGGGCATCGCCATTTTCATTACCCATAAGCATCTTGGGCCAGCATGAGCCCGTTCCTCGAGACCTCCGCGAGCAACTTCGCCTGGTGTTGACCAGTGGAGTGAGCTATGCAGCGCTGAAGAACGCAGCACCCGTGCCTGTGTGTGGCAATGTCAACGCAGTGCCTTGCAGCGGCTTCAAAGATAAACTGCATACAAAACACGGTACACCGAGACGTCAGAGTCCGAAACAGATCATCAAACTGGGGCTATTTTTAGAAAATAAATTAAACATTGTATGAGAACAATAAAAAGCCTGCGGTCCAAAGAAAATATGGAACCTTCAACAACTATGGAGATGTCAAAGAATAGATCCATACCCACATTCCTTTCCACATGATTTTTCTCCAGGTATATTGTTCTGCTTCCATATCCGACGTTTTTAATGTCCAAGATTCATCTGTATATTTGTGTTTCCCTCTTGTACCCATTGACTATAAAGAAATTAAATATCTTATTTTTTTATTTAATTATTCGAAAATAAATCCATAGTTACTGGCTCGTGTCTACAAAGCCATACAAATTTATCGAAGAAAAAAGGAGTGCATGGGATATCTTACAAGAAACCTCAATAGTGCCAAATAAACATTTAATTTTTTATTTTATTTTAATTTTTTGTCCATCTCGGAGTACATCATATGATGAATTGAGCGTCCAGATTATTCTACAGATCGTCGTTTACCTGACACACTAGACTATGACTGAATTACACTGGCAAGGTCGCTAGCTTTGAAAATAGGCATTTATGAGATGGTGGAGAGTAGGTTTGAATCATCATATTTGACAACCCAGATCGGCATGGTCTTGTGTTTGACTTTATCACTACCCACATTTTGATGGTGCACTGAGTCAACCATTACCTAAACTGATGTGTACATGCACAGATTTTCCGAATGCTAAATTTAAAAAGATAAATGGGCATCAGTGGTGTGAAATCATAAGATTACCTAAAAAAATTTGTGTCGCAAGTTGGATTGCGAGGAGAGAAGCCCAAATAGAGAAGCATCCTCGAAATGAAGGGAAGAATAAAAAGAAGTCAACAAAGAAAAGCATCGACTAGCACAGGATAAAATACTTAGTCATCTCAACTATTTTAGATCGATATTCCTGGCACCTATTACTATGATGACAGAATCTTGATGAGATATTGACATCTAATTCGTGTAGAAATCCTCCACAACCCTGGATCATTATAAACCAGCACCATCAATTTTCAAAACTAACGCCGACATATTGGATTAAAAGACGCTGGTAGTGGATGTAATGTCAAAACGAATTTGGTGAAGTGACAGAAAATTGATGGCAAACAAATGGTTCTTGCGTTGACGCAATAAAAGTAAGGCAACCTGAAAGATATTTTACATGAGAGAAAATCCTTGAAGTAATAATCTAATGTTTACATGGCACGGAGATGTCTGGAACATCACATATATAGAAAAGACGATCAAGAAAAATTTGGACTTTCATATGTTAATGTTTAAATCATCATCAACTGTAACTGATAATAAGAAGCCTTAATGCCTTAATACCTAAATACCTAAGATTTTACAGTCGACAAGACTCAAGCAGAACCAACATATGAGAAAATCACAGATGTTTTGTTAAGAACTGCACTAAATTTCTTCTACTATATTTTAGCCTTTTCTGACTTCACAGATTATTATTATTTTATTTTTTTACACTTTTCGCACGATGACAACGTAATGTAGAGATCTGAATATAGCTTGTTGAAATTTTATATATAGATTATTTTAACAAAATTCATCTTATGACAGTATGGCCATATTTATTGGGCCACGAATGCTGCCTAGTTTTTGTTGTACATCCTAAGCACTTTCTACTCTCCACCCTATGTCTATAAACACTAAGTTAAGTTAAAAAATAATCCGAAATATTTTAAAGAGTGCATCCAACTAAAAATATTTTTTATAAATTAATCGCTAAAATTCGTCTCAAAATGAAGTTCATGGCTATTATCTTTGACCAAGCCAACAATTACATAGCGTTGGGAACATGGATCCTTTCCCACGATTTAAATTTATCCTCATCCAATTTAAAATAAATAATATTCAAGGAAATAAAAAGAAAATGTAAGAGCAGAAGCAACCTTATTGAGTTGCAGAAGGTAGCTTCTGTGTTACGAAAACGAAATTGACCTCCAAACACAGCGAAGAAAACCTATGTACCTTGCTATCTTCGGAGCTGAAGTATTGCAAACAACGCTGTATGACGTGATTGCCATTTGGATCCCTGATGAGACTAAGGAAACCTGGTTGGAGCGCTGAGATAACAAGAGCAATTTGTTTTTTGTTCTTGAGTGTTTCTATCAGCCTCTGCACGGCCCTGGTTCTGAAACAAATTAGAAAACTCCACGATAAGATCCCAGTGCACCTCTTAGAAGTTATAAATTGTGAAACAGTAAACCAGGAATGACATTAGCAACAGATACCCGTGCATGTTTAGCGATATTCTAACAAGATCAGTGGGATTCTTTGTGAGGACAAGGATGATCTCGAGTCTCTGATCCTCAGTACATACATCCAACACCTTCTGCACGAGATAGTTCCCGAAAGGATTCACCATAAGCTCTGCAATGTGATCTATGATCTCGCAAAATATTATCTCCCTCTCTTGCCTCGTACCCTCATCAAACTTGTGCTGCAAGAACCGGCATCCTTGCTGGTCCCTTGCCACAAGATTGACAAAACCCTGAATGTCCGAGAGAGATTGATACTTTGGCATAACAGAAGGTAGGTAATGAGGTTCTACCCTACTCAATCTGCCATCCCTATGTGGTGCCTTCCGTTCCCGCTGGAGTCCACACCCCTTCTTCCCTGTCAAGTACCGCAGTTTACCCTGGATAATGAAACTGTCTTCACAAGTGATTGCACTGATGCGTTGTGGGCTTGCCACAGGCGACAGAGATAGAAGACTGTGGCCATTGGAAGATAATTCACTGCGGTGGGGTTGCATAGAAATGGCAGAGAGTGAACTTGGGACCATGGTTGGAGGCAAAATGGGCCGAGTAGACTCATCGAAGTGCTCAACAGAATATGTCCTGTTCTTCTCGGAACCCATAAATTCTTTGATTCCATCAGTCCTACCATGAGAGAAGAGTGATTCGTCAACTTGTTTTGCAGTTTGGTACCGGTTGCTGTCCAGACCAAAATCCTCACGACTTTGTTCGTTGAAAAGATTGATGGACTCGGAACAGCGACCATTGCTACGAGATGATGGTGAATCTTGTTGCCACCGGCAAGGCCGCAACCAATTGGATGTCAGATAACAATGTGTCTGCGGCATCAACGAGGCCGACGTCTCCTGATCGGACAACATCACAGGAGTCTGAAGGAGTTGGGAATGCCTATTATGGAAAGCTCCCTCCGACGATTCACTATTAACCCGCTGGCTCCAGATTCCACAAGGGTCCGCCGGGCTGTTCCCAATAGTACCGGCGGCCGCCACTTCCATGTCCTTCTCTATGCTCAAGGAACGGAGCCGGCCAAGCAAGTCGATCCGCTCCCCTTGCTCGATGCCGGCAGCGTGGGAACCGCACTGTACACCATGAAACGGGAAGTAGTAATGCGGGACTCCCTCTGCCTCCGCCCTAAGCGTGGGAATGGGGCCGGACCCTTCCAGAAGCAACGGGGACAGGCCGGACGGCGCCGCATTACGCTGCAGAATCGGCGACAACGTGCCTTTCGCAATGCCATTGCCGGCGTACGCTTCCAGAACTGACAACCTGGAGCTGCAACCTCGATAGCAGGGGCCATCAGCGCGACCGTCGTCCAGCGGACCGTGGCCCAAGCCGCAAACACCGGGCCGCTCTCGTTGCTTCTCGACCACCATCCGCCGTTCCTCCACATTCCGTTGCTGGCTCTGGAAAACACCAGCCACTCCCACGAGCGGCACCTCCATTCCAGGCACTTCCTGCATCCCCCGCCTCATCACTCCTCCGCCTCCCCCACCTCCCACAAGCAACGCAACACAACACTTTAAAATGATTCGGCCAGGGAGCTAGAAAACAAACGGCCGCAGAAAGCGCAAGAACAACAAAAATCTCCCCCGAAAGCTTCGCGGGCGAGGGGAGCCGACGCCTTCCGAAGCATGCAACGCGTCAAGACCTCCTCCCAGCCTCCCCCCTGCAGATCAGACGTTACCATACGGCGGAAGAAACCAGGATTATGCGACAGATCGACCGATAAACTGATACGAGACGACCCCGCGGTCGATCACTTGCGTAAGCATGCCGATCACCGATGTCGAAAATGGCAGAAACCGGAGGAGGCGCCGACGCCGGCGTTTCTCAGTGAGGAAAGTTCCCGTCGCCACCATCGCCTCCGTCAACACGCCACCGCCATGACGACGCCGCCTCCCCCTCCCCCGCTTCCTCTGCTCAGCACAGAGGGGGGTGGGGGGGCCTTAATAGTAGGAGTCGGCGACTGAGCGGGATACCGTCACCGCCCCTAATCGCCCCTCCTTTACCACCTCCGTCAGTCCAGCTCCGAGCCCCGGTTTCCGTCGGCGGTGACCGTACATCTCTGGGCTCCTCGCGGTTAACGGACGGGACCGATAATTATTATTCTTTTTCTTTTCGTAATTTATTTCTTTCTGTTTCCCCGAACGCTAAATTTGAGATTTTGGATATTTCCCTTCGGGGTAGGACAGCCGTCGACGTGGAGGGATATCCTCCGTTCGCTCACTGTCGGACGGTTAAGATAAGGCCACTTGTCAGGGGGAGCGGGAGGTCCTCCCAGCGGCGACAGTCGCGCTAGCCGCTACTCCCGCGTAACTATAAAAGGACATAAATACCCTCATCTGTATTCCGATGCCGTGAACCTCTTGCCGTAACTCCCAAGGGCATTATAGTCTCATCGTATGTATCCCCTCCGCCTCTGTACGAGGGCGTTAAGCTGAACGGCCTCTCTCTCTCTCTATCTGCACGGGAATTAGTTCGGTCGTGCTCCAGTCATGATGACCAGTGAGTGCACACCACGTGGCATCCCATGCCCCGAAACAGAAGATGACGGCCGTTGCTCTGGTCTTACCAGGTAGCTAGAATTGAGTGAGTGGTGATGATCCCGAGAAAATCCCAGACGTTGATTATCAGGCGCGGACGCTTCGACGGTGATCGAGGTCGCACCTATCTACCAATCACAGGTGGCCACGATTCCAGCCGGGCAACGGAAATAACTGCCACGCGCGTTCGTTTTGGACCAAAAAGAAGGGAAAATATTTGTTTTGAGTCCCTCTAAAAGTAAGTATATATTAAAAAAACCACAAATGTAGGATAATTCTGTACGTGTGCTCTCGAGTGGGCAAGACTGCGGAATACAGAGCATCGTAGTCCTCGTTGCCCGGATGCCGATGTGTTGAGGGCCGCGGGGCTTGCAAGATTGACCCGTAAAGCAGCAACTCGACAGGTCGACCCTTTTGGCTCATGGGCGGTCAACCATCTATCAAGAGTTGACTAACGAGTTGACTCATTAATTTTTTCGTTGACCCAATAGAAGAGACCCTAGGCTAATGTCATGCGTATGATATTCCAAAACATTGACTAATTCACTCGAAAATTAATAATATTTGAAAAAAATAATTCAACAAGTTTCTCTCTCTCTCTCTCTCTCTCTCTCTCTCTCTCTCTCTCTCAAAGGTGGTGGCCGTTTTCCAAGTTTCTTTGTGCTCAGAAGTAGTCGTTGTTTCCTCTGTTATGGGCAAAATGAACAACTTTCCATCTGTCATCGGTGGTCCTGGAGAAAATGGCAAAACTTCCCAAGAGGAGAAACACTTACAGGCTCCGACTAAAGACTTACCCCATAATAGGGATCCCTGCGCTGGTAGAGAGAGAGAGAGAGAGAGAGAGAGAGAGAGAGAGAGGGAGAGAGAGAACAAGAACAAGCATATTTTCTTAAAATGGTACGAGAACAAGAATTCAAAGCCGATCCCAGCTAAGAGAAAAAATAAAAATAAAAATAAAAATAAAAATAAATTTTAAAAAAACTATCAGCCGTTCTTCTGGTGGCTGAAGTCAACGATACACAGATAGAGAGACAGATAATGAGAGTGAGAAGGCAAGCTTGAGGGTGGTAGAGATAAAAAAATTAAAAAAAAATCCTGAAAATCTATGCACTGGAGTAAGAAATGCAAGCAACTTTGTCTTCATATTGCCTGTTTTATATCAATTGAGCAACCAAAAAAATAAAATTAAACTCATTAATTGAAAGATCAGGAGAAAAAAATATGAAATAGAGAAAAAGGATGAATAATTCATTCATCGATCTTCTCATATGGGAAAACCTTGCATAAAATATGGGATCTTCACCCTGATAATGAGATGAAAACATAATCACATGATATTCATCCAATCTTATAACTAAAGAGGGTACAACCTTGGACAACATACAGAGGCATAAAGAGATGAATTTTCCCCAGGAAAATTTCATGGGGCAAATCAAATGGTCCTAATTTTAGAAAAAATAAATAAAAGGATTGATACCCTGTTCATAATATCAGAGAATTTATCTTCCACTTGAAAGATATCCAGAAAAATTAGAAAGATGATATGGCCGCATACCTCTCCAGAAGCAGTCCTGTAGAGCTTCCATGGCTAGTCCTGAAAGACAGGTGGATGGTTCCAGCCGGTTCTTCAAGCCACAGTACCTCGCCATCTATGAGCATTTACCCCTGAATATTTCTGGTATGGAGATGCCAAACCACACAGTCCGCCATAAAAAATACCTCTCAGATATGAAGACGATAGGGAAATTAATAGCTCCCAAGATTAGTTGATCTGGCAAAGAAAATGTTTCACTTTGGTGGATTAGTCACCTCCTTAGCTTGAAGATGATTGCCACTGAGAATGAAGCTTACTCTCCATTTCTGTTCGACTAGGTATCCTGAGAGTTATTATAATCGAATGATTTTTCCTCTGATAGTAAAAAAAAACAAATAATTAAAAATTAGACCATGATTGTGGCGCTTATGTTGACCGGGCAGTTTAACCTGTGGAAGATAACTAATTTTCAATTTAAAAAATACCGAAAAATGTGCTCTACCTTAACTTCATGCATCTATGATTTTAAGGAAAAATAAGTCAGATACTAAACAGAAACCCATCTCAAGAACCGAGTGCATGATGTGCAAGAACGCATCGCGCACACCAATTGAAAAGAACTCCCTTTTCGGCCTCCACCTACACAAAATCTCAAAGGTCATAGAGCTGTCATACCAGTGTTTTCTCTGGGCCAGATAGCTGTTCAACCTGAAATCTCAACGAGGTTAGAGAACCTTTTAGTATTCTTGATCAGGCATCTACTTGAAGAACCACAAATTTTTCTGAAAAATAAATCACAACTCCTTGAGCACCGAATTTTTTTTTTAACTAAATGTATGATTTCTCCTGATTTACTGACATGAAATCACAACTCCAGCATTTATTGTTCCAAAAACTGCATGTTATGTGCATTATATATTATTTTCCTGGGATTATCTACACCTGCATGTTCTTGATAACTGGTGATTTTAAATAAAAGATATACATACATGATCTGTGCTCATATCTAGCTGATATTAGTTTGCTTTATCGGGTGGAACTTCCCTCAACAATTCAAGGTCAATGTAGCCATGATCATTCGCCAGCCGATTAAGCAAGCTCTGCAGAAAATATGTCCAGTACAAGAATTTTAGCTCCTTCATCTAAACCATCGCTAAATAAAAGTTTATCTAATAAATACCCCCCAAAAGACAGGGAATCAAAACCATCGCTAAATAAAGGAAAAATATGTGTATCAGCTTGGACTATAAGGATATGAAATTTGTTAAGAAATTGGAGAAACATTCTTCACGTTAATAAAATACAACTTCGATCACTGTGCTATCTTGCTTTACGTTGGGAACCAGGGCACATCTTACTAAAGTCGGATTTAATTATCTAGAAACATTTTGGTATTCAATCCAGAACATTATTCAATTTTCTTTTTCATTCAGGTATCTTAATTCCCTCTGCAAGCATGTCATTCATCAGCATTTATGTAAGGGCACAGGCAATCTCATTCGCAAATGCACTCCTCACTGCTTCCCGGGTCAATAATTCAATTGTCATTACATCTTCCTCATCTCAAATCCCACCTGCATCCTCAAATGATCACAGTCAAAAGTGTTATTTTTTCCTTTTTCAATCTTTCTTGTCATCATTATAGGAGCACTGGGACGCGACTTCAATGATCCGACAGGCCCTCGAAAGGGACAATCATGCTTGTGAGCCATAGTGAACTAAGGATTTAGTGCTAATAGTAGTAAAATCAACAGGTTTAATAACATAATTTCACCACATATCAGGTTCCATAGGTCCAATTTTAAATTTTTGGTAGAGTTTAGGGCTCAGAAGTTGCTGAAAGCTTGGGTTTTCCCCCTCTCCTCACTTTACTGAAGACATCTACGGTTAGCAGTCCAGGATGACCTTGAGGTATGCGGATAATTTCATTGTGCTACAACATCTTCCTAATCGTTGCCTATATTTGACTGAATGCCGGTTTACCCTGCTTATCTTGGAATCCTTCCAAAGTTCTTTGAGCGTCAGAAATAGAGGCCCCATCCTTGATTGCAGTATTATTTTCCCTATTTTCCCTATTTTCTTTTATTTTTTCTTTTGTTCTACTCTTTTTGTGAAGCTCAGAAAACACGTAGGATTGTTAGCCTATTCTCAATCAAAAGTTTTTGGAAGCACATCAACAGCTTTGCATTGAACACCAGCAATCCCTTGATCCCTTCCCACGCTTCCGTCCATTGATAGCCAACTGGAAGCACTACCTGAGACAAATGTGAGAATCTGGTCAACAGCTAGCTTGAGAGACAGATCTTAGAATGGTCTCATCCCCAGAGAAATTTCTGCTGTTCTTCATTCTAGCAAGCTTTGTCAAATTTTCCCATATCGGTCGCCTCACTGTAGGTCACAGAGTCATCAAAGATGGGATTTCTGGTGTGAACTTAGACGATCAATAAACACTTGTCTGTGGGAATAATTTAGAGCTAGGGCTCGTCCTTCTCATGAGTACAAACCCACCTCCCTTCTCATGAGTTCTTACTTTTTTTCGTTTCCCAGCTAGCGCAGGCGCAGGTGTTGTTGTGTCGGGAGTTCTTGCTGCCTTCCATTCCTGAAAAACCTTCGGCCTGTGTTTCTTCCTTGAGCGCTTCTGTCGGTGTCTCCTTCTCCTGAAATTGGGAAGGAAGACCCACTGACGAGAAATACGTATGCTCTGTCAGAACACTTGCCTGTTCCTGCCCTCCTCCAGCCGTATCTCCTTTGTCCACAGAGCTCCAAGCTCAGGAGCCTTCCATGTTGGTCCGGTGTCACAGGTGCAAGTAGAGGTGGCGCAGTCTTGCATGCCAATGGTCCAGCCGCAGGTAAGACTTGAGGGATCGAGAAAACAGTTCAAATTAGGACAGCCCGATCCTCATCGCTACATCTGGCGACTACTGATGTTTCCAATTGTATTTGTCCGGAGAGATGTCGATGTCGATGTCGCTGTTGGGAGTCTTCCGCCACCCCTGCACGGAGTCTCTCACGGCCAGACTCTGCAGAGAAGAATCAGCACCAGAAAGGAGGTTTTGAGACACCACTGCGGCACCATAGCTATTGCGGTCATCCAGGTTGTTGGCTGCATCATTCCCTCTCTTCACAAGAAGAGGAGTTGTAGGCGTACCCGGAATCCGAAAGCTCTGGAAAAATCTTGCTTCTCAGGTACCAGAAGTCTCCTACCTGCTGCGTCCATCAAAAAGTGTAGAAGTTTTGAGGGGACGAAGACAGGGAGAGAGAGAGAGAGAGAGAGAGGGAGAGAACATGTTCAACCTCTTCTGGTCACCGTCTCCCCCACACTAATTTGTGCACACTACAGAGATATCTTCCACAGGATCCCGTTTCATCCAGAGCTAACCCCATTTACAGCTCTGGACACCGGCAAACCAGCTGTGCTATCACCTGACGCTCGTTATCCCCCTTTTCCTCGTAAGCAATCCTTGCAGTAGAGATTGGTCGAATGAAACAAGAACATGGGGAAGAAATCTCTGCCGGAGAAGACTGGAAGAAATCTATGAACACCTCTCAAACAACGGAATCCAAGAGGAAAAGCTGGGTTAAAGGGAAGACTCAACAAGACGAGCCGGCCCTTTACCCCGGTCTGTCCCTCAGATAAACCCTCTCCCGCCCTCTCTCCCACTGTTTCCCAATGCTGGTCCTCGATGAAACCGCGCCGGCGACAGAGAGCAGGAGCCTTCGCCGCTGGAGCAGTCGAAGGTTCCTAGAGAGAGAGAGGAAGTGGAACTAATTACTCTCACTTTTTTAATTAAAAAACTGGATAATTTAATTTATTTGAAGATTCAAAAAGTCCAGCGAAGCGTACTGTAAGTATCACAATACACGAAAAGAGTACGAGAAGGAGAGGATTGGATACAATCTTTTGTCAAAAACACATCAAACCGCCGGAGCATCAGCCAAATTATCACGCACAGTGTCTCGAAAACCGAGCGCAGCTGAAAAAGTGCGCGGACTGGTCCTATCCGACAAGCTGACAGTTGTAACTGCTCTCACACGTGCCACAGAATACAACATGAGTCCCAGGTGCCACACGTGTGTTTCGTCAGCATGCCAACATGCGCGGCACGTGAACATAAAAAGCTCATGTAACTAACACTGACAGCTGTAATTTTAAAAAATATTTAATAAAATACAATTTTCAGCTCTTATTTTTCAGAATCTCCATACCGAAGTCTACTCCTGGCCCAAAAGGATGAGATTCTGTTTGGGCCTTAGTCCGAGTTTGACTGGGGCCTGGCTGGAAGCATCAGTCGGCCCATTTATTTGCAAATGTGAACCTGCAGGGACCTCTTTGGCCCAATAGGCCCATTTATTCTAGCCATCAAGTAAAGAGAAATACGTGGGCCCATCCCTGCCGACAATCTAGTAGCAGAAGAGTGACAAGTGGCCGTGGGCCCACTAGCCCTCTCTCGCCCTGTTCAGTTTCTCTCTCGAGTCCCCTCGGGACTCGGTTGACCAAGGCCCACGCAACAGCGGGGGAATTTACTCTGAGGGCGTTGCCTCGCCTCGGAAAAGACAAAGTGGGCCAAATTCTTCGTTCTACATTATTGGGCTATTATTGGGCCCGATAAATGAAGGGCCCAACTCCGTTGTCTCTTCCCACGTGGGGGCCTCCTGAGGAATCCTGGGCACCACCCACCGCACATGGCTCCTCCCTTCCTCGTCTCAGGCCACCGACGACTCGAAGAGAATTTCGAAAATACACCCTCCTCCCTCCTCAGCCTTCCCATAATGCCCCTACCATCACCGACTTCGGAAGGAAGCATCCCAATCATATTAACTAGCTATTCATTTATTAAGTAGAGAAAGCGGACCCCATTATTTCCGCAGTAATTAGTATAATATTTTTTCATGAAAATTTAAATATGTAATTAATATTCTTATTATTTTATAATTGCGTCATCATTAGAGCTCAGTCGTGTGGCCATGAGCTATAGATACATGCCAAGTAAGAGACGGTCATGAGCATAATATGACGGTCAAATCGAAACCCCCTCCCATGTGGTGGCCGTTGGAGAGAGTGGTCAAGTCAACGTTTCTAATTCTAGCCAACTTGCCGAGCTTAGCGTAAGTTCAAGTTTATTTTAACAAGGACCTTACCTTCTAGCGGTGGCTGTCACTGGCCCACAGAAGGTTCCATATAGAATCGTAGTTAGAGAGAGAGAGGGCACCGACACGGTGGGGTATTCCATAAATGCCCCCGATCTTGGAGTATGGTAGAAGTTCCATTTATTGCGGCGGCCCGCGAGCCAACGCGACCGCCACCGCGAGGAACATAAATAAGAGATTAAATAGGACAGAAATCCTCGCGAACTGGCCGAGAACTAAAAAGATATTTAATGTAGAAAAATCACACTAGTCCCATTTTCCAGGTTTGCACCCCCCCCTCGCAGAGCAGGATTCTCCCGCTCAGTTGTATGGGCATTAAGGGAACAACAGTTTTTTTTTCTCTCTCTCTCTCTCTTCTCTTCTCTCCTCTGGTGATTGCCGCCAACTCGTATGATGACATGCCGAAGCGAAAATAGGCGGAGAAAGGGGGCGTTTTTTTTGCTCTTCTTCTTTTTCTTCTGCGGGGGATCGATCGCTCGATCGATGATGGATCAGCTGTTCTTGCTGTCGTCGCCGCCGGGGCCGGCGAGGAGGTAGGCCTTCTTCCGGCGGTCGGCGGCGCGGGAGAAGGCGAAGAGGATGAGGAAGCATGCGGCGTAGAGGGCGTGGGCCCGCCAGTTGGTCCTCGGCGCCTCGCCGGCGACGGCGCGGTGGAAAACCGCGGTGTAGTAGTGCAGCCCCACGGCCAGCGCCACCCCCGCCTGCAGCAGCGCCACCGCCCTCGCCGGCGCCACCAGCAGGTGCAGCAGGTGCAGCAGGAGGAAGACGGCGTAGCCCAGCGTCTGCAGGACCTGCGTGGAGAGGTAGGCGGCGGGGGAGGCGACGTAGAACAGGCGGAGCGGCTCGACGCCGGTGAGCACGGCGGCGAGGAAGAGGACGGAGAAGTAGATGGCGAGGTAGGCGTGGGCGAAGAGGAGGATCCTCGGCAGCGAGAGGAAGGAGCGAACATGACGGAGGAGCGCCGCCACAAGTAGCAGCGGCAGGAGGATGAACGCGGCAGAGGTGGCGGAGGCGACCGTGGCGGCGTAGCGGTGACCTACGATGGGCTTCACGCCGCGGGTGATCTCCTTGCTGGCCTTGGAGAGGTAGACCTTGGAGGTGGAGGAGATCTTGGCCAGGTCCGGGAGGAGTGTCTCCTGGAACCTGGAAGGAAGGTCTCGGAACTCCGCGATCAGGTCCGTGTCCTCCTCCGACGGGTCGTAGCCGGAGAGGAACCAGCCGCCGCCGCCGCCGCCGGGATTGCTCTCCGAGCTCTTCTGCGCCGGCGGTGTCTTCGAGAGCTTGCCGCCGCCGGCACTGGTGGTGGAGTTCACCGCCTTGGTGGCCGTGCTGGTAGTGGTCTTCTTCCCTGTGACGGTGCTGGTGGTGGAGTTCAGCGCCTTGGTGGTGGTGGTGGTGGTTGTCTTTCCGCCGGCTGTGGTGGTGGAGTTCACGGCCTTGGTGGTGGCGGTGGTCGTCTTCCTGGCGGCGGTGGTGGAGTTGATCGGCTTGATGGGGGTCGCGAGCTTGGTGGCGTTGGAGGGCTTCAGAAGGAGAGAGGAATTGGAGGGCTTGGGGACCTTCACGGCGGCGGCGGTGGAGTTGGCCTTGAGGAGGAGCTTCGTCTGGTTCTTGCCCGCGGCAGCAGAGGCGACAACGGTGAGATTGGCCGTCGTCGTCTTCTTCGGCGGCGGCGGCGGCGCCGCCGCCGCGTGGGCTTGCTCTCCGTCTTCCTCAGAGTATAGCACCTTCCTCAGGTGGTGGCCGGGCCGCCAATGGGGTTCCGCCGCCCCGGCGATGGAGAGAAGGTGGGAAGAAAGGAGGAGCAGTAGGAGGAGGCCCATCTGCGGAGATCTGAAACTAGAGAGAAGAGAGCGAGAGAGAGAGAGAGAGAGAGGAGGAGGAAGGAGGATCGGTGGGGAAGAAGAGTGGCTGCTCGGGGGAGGTGGGCGATGGGTGCCAGGGGTTTTTATATGGGGAGGAGTGGAGGAGCGAGAATGAAGTGGCCTCGAGATCTCTGACCCAGCGGGGGAAGAAGAAGATGCGAGTCGGTGAGGCCGGCTACCATTGAGAAAGTAAGAGAAACTAATGGTGTAACTAGAGCTCTTCCGACGTGAGAGAGAGAGAGAGAGAGAGAGAGAGAGAGAGAGAGAGAGAGAGAGAGAGAGAGAGAGGGGTCACATGGTGAGTGGGACAAAGGAGGGGGCAGTCAGCAGCAGAGGTGGCTGGTAGCCCTTTTCACACGTCTAAGAATTTGGATACCTTGCGGATATCGGATCCTAATTCGGATATCGAATGTGAATTCGGTACAATATTTAATCGTATGCAAAACTACAGACGGGGGTCTCCGTTGGTCTCACACTGTTTGGCCCCGATTCCAGCTATTCTAGAGGATTCCAATCGATTCCGCTACCCGCAAATCCGATTCGGACGACTAATGACAGCGTTGGGACGCAATTCCAGACCGCAGAGCGCTTCCAAACGCTTCTCGTCCTGGCCGGCGAGAAGTCGAGTTGGCGTTACCGAAGCTATACAAAAGTCCCGTGAATTCCGACGGATTCCACTGGTGTTTGGCACAACGAAATGGCCGCCTCTGGATTCCACAGAAAAGTACGTCCCAATGTCTCACCTTTAGCTGACAAGATGAAGGGAGAAAGCAAATGGTCTAGGAAGAGAGAGAGAGAGAGAGAGATGAATTGCCACGTGGATAAAAAGGCATCTTGTGTTAAAAAACCATTTAATAACTACCAACCCAATTTTTTTACTTTCATTTGAATGAAAAATATTATGATAATTTGGTAATCATATAATATTTATTTACTATCTATGGAAATACCCAAAGAAACGAGTCTCAGGTGGATAATTTTCACGAATGACAACATATTTTTAAAAATTATAAATATTTTATGAGCCCAAAACCTTGAAAGAATCCCATCACGTGCATGCATGGTGAGTTATGTCGTCACTTAGAACGTGCCCAAGGTCAACTCTTAACTCACCATAAGAAACCATTAGTCAAATAATTATTCCGTATTAGTTAAAATACGAAGTGAGCTGATGAATAATCTCAATATGTTATTAAAAATATGAATTAAGAGCGTTGACTATCAAGAAACAAAAACTAATTGTCAATTGATGTGCACCTTTAAAAAGAAAAAGAAAAACATAGTGGGAACCGTTTACTTGCTACTTAATCTAGCTGATTTGGACCACTATGCCATAAAACACACGCAATATAATATTTTAAAAAGACATTTATTTTTTGAGGTTATTTGGGTTTAAGTCCTCAATAAATCTTTCAACTGTGATACGCTCTTCTATTTTATTTTATTTTATTTACTCTTATGGGACTGTGAATCCTAGCAGTCTGGACGGGATCCTAGCGAGATGTTCTCGCATTCGCCGTGATCTTACCTCAACGATGAGCTCCGTCCATCCGTCCGATTAGAATCGGGTGGTGTCGTCGTAAAAGAATACTCATACGTATCAGCATGCAGGCTACAAGTACGTTATAAAGGAGAGAGGCGGTGATAAACAGAAAACGACAAAGAATAAGAAGCATATGGTGCGATGCGGTCAACAGGTTCGAAATACGTCCAAGGAGAGATTGTGACACAACGGCCTCCCTCCAGGAAACAACGAGGAAAACTCTTTTGCCATAGGTTCTCCAGATCCTTCCTTCTTGGACCAGAACTGAGCACAGACGAGAGAGAGATCTCTAAAGTCACCCCGGAAGGGGGGGAGGGGGGAGGGGCCAGGCGGCGAGATCTGATCGGATACAGGTGGAGATCGAAGGGGGGGGCACGATGAGCGCAAGCAGGGTCACGCTGGTTATGGTGAACTTGGCGGGGATCATGGAGAGGGCGGACGAGGCGCTGCTGCCGGCGGTGTACAAGGAGGTGGGGGCGGCGCTGGGGGCCACGCCGGCGGGGCTGGGATCGCTCACGCTATTCCGGTCGATCGTACAGTCGTTCTGCTACCCGCTCGCCGCCTACATGGGCATCCACTACAACCGCACTCACGTCATCGCCTTGGGGGCCTTCCTCTGGGCCGCCGCCACATTCCTCGTCGCCATATCCTCCACCTTCTTCCAGGTTGACCTCTCTCCCCTCCCCTCCCCTCCCCAATCTGTTTTTCTGATGCGTACTACTGCTGCTGTTTTATTCTTCGAGTTCAATTTATATATATTCCCTACTGGAGGAGTCTGAAAGAGAGAATAATTATCGTCTAGAACAGTTTAGAAACCGTGAAGTGAGCGCAATTAATATGTTCCACGAGCTCGCCACTTCGTTTTTACTCTATAATAATAAGCTGGTTCTCATGTACTGGAATCAGAATAATCTCACTATGAGCGGGATTAGTAAAATTATTTGGTTCCCCTCCACTCATTCTTTACATGTTTTGCGCTGGACGATCCCATTTTTCTACAGTATCACATCATCAGATTCCTTCATGTAACCTTTTCCCACAACTATGTTCTCTACCGAGCTATCCAAAAGTCGTAAGCTAACGCGTTAGAATAATCCTACATGGAATGACAAAAAAAGCATAGCTTCCGGTCATTGTAAATGAGTGTTGAATTGGATAGCTTATCTCGTTTAATTTATCTCTAGATCTTGAGTAGTTCAAAAACCGAATATTGACAAGTCAATAGCTCAGTGTTCTCACGCTGGTCAGTTTGTGGGTGTCTTCTTCCGGTCGGGGAAGTGTCTGTGTTCCTTGCTCTCTTGTTTGCATTCAGTGATCATGGGACTTGTACGGCTAGTGATATTACTTTATGCCTGTGATCTGATAAATTTATGGTAGGTACCAGCGTACCATTCAAAAGGCAGGTTGGTTTCCGAGATTTTCTTACCACAAATATCAAAGGAAAGAGGATTTTCTTACTTATTTCTAGACCATTTTTACGTGTAACTTTTTCTTTCAATTCTCTGTTCAGTTTTCACAATACACCTAAAAGAAGTAAGGGAGAGGGCGTAGTTGAGATCAGTGGGGATTGTCCATGTGAATACCGAAGATAGCTGCAACTTTATCCTCCCCTATGCTAACCTTCATGATGTTCACCAAACAGGTGGCTGTCGCGAGAGCTCTAAATGGGGTAGGCCTTGCGCTTGTCATTCCTGCCATGCAGTCTCTTGTTGCAGATTCTACCGATGAGAGCAACCGTGGTGTAGCTTTCGGGTGGCTTCAGTTGACAGGCAACATGGGTTCCATCCTCGGTGGCTTTTTTGCACTGTTATTGGCATCAAGGACATTCATGGGTATAGCTGGATGGCGAGTGGCTTTCCATCTTGTGGGGTTGGTGAGTGTCTCAGTAGGCATCTTGGTGCGCCTCTTTGCAGTGGATCCTCGAGATTCTTCAGCAAAAGGAGAATTTGAGGGCTCTGAGTTACACCCTCAGAGATCAGTAAAGGCCAGCATTTTGGAACTGGTTAGGGAAGCAAAGCGTGTCATAAAAATCCCATCATTTCAGATAATCGTGGCTCAGGGAGTGACCGGATCTTTCCCTTGGTCAGCTCTGACATTCACAACCATGTGGTTGGAGCTCGTTGGATTCTCTCATGGAGAAACTGGGCTTCTCATGGGCTTGTTCATTATTGCAACTTCCCTTGGGGGGCTTTTTGGGGGCAAGATGGGTGATACTCTATCAAAGCGTCTTCCAAATTCTGGAAGGATAATTTTATCACAGATAAGCTCAGGCTCTGCAATCCCACTTGCCGCTTTGCTGTTGCTGGCTTTGCCTAATGACCCATCGTCTGGATTTGTGCATGGCTTTGTCATGTTCATCATGGGATTTTTCATCTCATGGAATGCTGCTGCCACTAACAAGTACGTATATACTTCTGCTCCGATTGTCTGTCAATAAAACGCAGTATTTGTTGTTTTTTTCTGCTAAATTTTAGAATTTCAATGATTTTATCTGATGTACTGTTGGATCTAAAATCTTTTGTTTGCACATGGGTATAAGTGTGGAAACGAAGTGTTGGGGACATTATAAGACCGGGCAACAAATGGGGTTGAGAACTCATATCATGTATTTAATCCGAAACTTAGTTTTGATAATGATATATTTATATTGAACTGTTCCATCACGAAAGTAGACATTTGAGGGTGATCTGAATTGTTTTCTCCAGCTTATCTATAATTTTTGAGCCAAGAAATAATCGGTAATTGTGCTTTCAAATAAATAAATTCAAAGTTGAATATTTTAATCATGAACTTCTCCTTTGTGTGATTCGTGCAGCCCAATTTTTGCAGAAATTGTGCCCGAGAGATTGCGAACGAGCATATATGCATTGGACAGAGCTTTTGAAACAACCCTGTCGTCATTTGCCCCGCCCATTGTCGGCCTCTTATCCGAGCATGTGTTTGGGTATAAACTAGCTCCAACAGGCTCAACTGAGGCAGCAAAGGTTGAGACTGACAGAGAGAATGCTACCTCATTGGCCAGGGCGCTATTCACAGCGATAGCGATTCCCATGATTCTCTGTTGCCTCATTTACTCGTTCCTCTACTGTACCTATCCTAGAGACAGAGCAAGAGCACGGATGGATTCCCTGATAGCATCTGAGATACGGCAGATTGAGATGGACAACTCTACCGCAGATAATGTGTCTCAACCTGAGCTGGGCACCAAGGACAGAAGAAGAGTGATCGAAACTCCCTGCCGAGAAGAGGATTTGGAAGTTGACGACAGCGATGAGAAGCTGCTGCTTCCTCAGAATCTGATGTCCTCACATGAAAAGGATTGATGATACTGAGACAGAGAGAGGCTCAATCTCTGGACTGATGATGATGGCTGATGATTTTTGGTAGATTCTTCACAGTTCCTCAAGACACACGATGCACCAAAGAATATACAGAATATGATTCAGGACGTTTAATTTCTCTGTATCTCTCACCACCCCTGTTCATATATATCCATCCTCCATGTTGAGGGGAAACATGTTCAGACACTACCATCCCCTCTGTAATATGATTCAATCAAATTCTTATCACTGGTTTGAGCCTTTTGATCGTGTAATATTATATCTCCTCTCACAGATTTCCCATAAACAGCAGGTTTTTTTTTTCATTACTTATTCGTTTTATTATGCTTCCAGCTTTTAGGGTTTATATAAGATTCTGAAGAAGAAACGCAGGGTAACTGTGATAAACGCTGACAATGTCAAAGGAGAGACCGACAGATTTGTTCTTGTTACTGGTAGATGATTTTATCGAAAGGGTTTGAAAAAAAAATCCCACCTTTAAGATGATTCGTTGACATTTTCCCCTTTTTGTTGACATTGAGTCTAAGAACAATAACTTATCAAAGCCCGCCCAGGCTTTGATCATCTTTTCTGCCCAAACTTTTCTTGTTCAAGCTTATAAAACATGAGCCTTTTATGCTTCCGAGCTAACACCACCTATTGCTCCCTCTCTCTCTCTCTCTCTCTCTCTCTCTCGCTCTCTCTGTTTCTCACTCTCTAGAATGAGACTGTTTACAGGGACGGGCATGCAACTCCTTCCTACAACCGAATTGCGGGGGCCCAAACCTTAAAGGGCTGTAATATCATCCGGGAAATATTCTCCCATAAATAACAAAAAACAAACCCAGGGTGAATTACCATAGTTTGGTCGCTTAAATCGACCAAAGTTTGCCGATCACATGATCCTCCCTGTTCCTCATCATCAACAAGCCCGGGAGACTGATTGGGGAAGAAACCTCCACAGATCCACTGCCACGTCGACCTCCTTCTTCTTGTGAAACTTGTACATTTGTGGGACGTCGAACCGGAGCTGAGGAGCAAACGGGCCAAAACGTCAACAAAGCCCACTGATGAGGGGACCCGATGGGCCCGGCTCAGACCCTAAAAAGCCCGGCCCGGTTTTCCGGAGCCCACCATTGTGGGACCCACCTGGGCCTCACTTAGGAAAAAAAAAAAAGAAGGCAATTTGTTTTTAGATATTTAATTCTCTCTCCCCCTCCCCCCCCTTCCTTCTCCTCCACCACCCTTACCTCGCACAAGACCTCGGCAGTCGCGGCATTGAAGCTCTGGAGGGCTGCTTTCTTCACATGCTGAGGAAGCATTTCATGAACATCACACATCTTCAGAGAGTGGAGAGGAGAGAGAAACCTCAAGCTAATGCGCTGCAAGCATCCATCTAGCATCTGACTTTAACTCATCCCTTCGCCAAGGTTAATTGCAAAAATGTGCACAAGTCCCATAAAAATAGAATTTAAAGGTACCTTTATCTTGATTTCTGCACAGGTGAAATTATTTACCCTTCATGATTATTTTAGAAGATAGCTTCTGGTTTAATAAGAACAAGAAGGAAAACAAAGAAGAGGCTGCCCACTCAGCCTGCATTGGAGATTAAGATCTCCCATGAAAGAATACATGGCGGTTCTTCAGAGACTCACCTCTCTGGTGCTTGTCTTATGGAGGGAGTAGACTGCTCCAGAGGCCACCTAATAATAGCAAACGGAGGGGAACATCTAGAGGTCAGACAATGGCCAGGATAATAAATAAGGAGGAAAGATTCTTCCAAACCTGGAGAGCCATAGAAAGGAATTCCATGTCGACCCCCTTCCTCCTTGTCCCAAAAGGAGGGTTCATCACAACAGTGTCGATGCATTTACCTTGTAAAGATCCACATCGCCAAAAAGGAATCATCAGCCAGGATGAGAGAGAGAGAGAGAGAGAGAGAGAGAGAGAGAGAGAGAGAGGCGGGGTGGGGGGGTGATCTCAAATTGAAAATTGGGTTCAGTGTACTAATCGTATTATCAATGTATAATTATTGAGATGATCTCCATTTTTTTCATTTACTGTTTAACACAGTGGATTCAAACCCTTGTTAAAATCATTATATGTGATTCTGGGGAGGGGGAGAGAGCAAGAAAGGGAAAGAAGAAAAATATTTAAAATATTCACATTTTTTATTGGACTAATTAATTTTACTTCGTATTTATCACATATGATTTTCATTTATTTTGCATTTATATAAAATAGTGAATTAAAGCCATTTTTATTAAAATGATTTCATTTGATTTTAGGGAGAGGAATGCAAGAGAGAACCAGGGAGGGAAAGAGGGATCAAACAAAAATCATTCAAAATTTTAAAATGTATGTGATACATAATAATTATATTCCTTCTATTTTTATTTACACTAAAAATACCGAACAAACCATTTTCATAAAAAAATAATCATCATACAATTTTAGAGCAGTCAGGGGCGAGAAAGATGAGTGAGGCTAATTAAAGTAATTTTCATATGGATGTAACTGTTATCTTCTCATATCAAAAAAGTCGCCAGTTGGAGTTCTTTTATGGGATAAATGATAAAATAGTATTTATATTTTGCTAGATTAATCACAGATAATACATATTAGTAAATAATTCCCCGAGGAAAAAAGAGAACAAAGATTGCACAAAAAAACTAACCTTTCCACGATAAGTTTCTGATGTCACACCAAACCAGATCGATGCTCACCTGCCCATGATTATATTAAGATTAAAATACTCATATATATGAAATTCAACCACAATTGGCCTGATATATCCATTCTTTCGACCTGCGGTGTGACTAAGATCCCATATAGGATAAATAGGTTTAAAAGGAAGGCCCAGATGAAGAAGATCACATAATAGCAGACTGTGGCTCACAGGGGTTGACCCTGGTCAGATGTAGGATATTGGGTAGTTCTAATCTCGAGGATTATAAATGGGGGAAAATCATAAAATTGGACAAGGTTTGGGAGAGATATTCATGGAAATGTACGAGCCAAGAAATTGTAAAGAAGTCAACTTAAAAATAGAAATGTACCTCGAGCTGTTCGGCATTCTCTGAGGCGATCTCAAGGGAACCAGGGTCAACATCTACGCCGACTACATGCCTGTGTATTGATGAAATATAAGTAGAAGGATAGAACAAGAATGCATAGAATTTCAGACTTTGATAGCGAAGCCTCTGGAATAGATTTTCCTTTTAGGGAAAAAAATGAAGAAATATGACGGGCCAGAGGAGGTGTTCTTCAGCTAATATGATTCACTCACTCTGCATCCAAAAGAGCGCTTGCTATCCCCAATGTCCCACAGCCACAGCCGAAATCTGCAACGATCTTTCCGGTTATGTCTCCAAATGTATTCTCGGCCTGAAGGCAGATGATAAATGGGGAGCACAAGTAATTTTGATCGAGTAAGTGGTCTTTGAAATGCATAGAACATCAGTTTCCTGTTCTTGTTCTTGTTCCTCTTTTTGTTTAAACCTATAATTTGACGAAGAACTACGCGCCTGATGGTTGATTTACATGCACGGTGATTGACCAAACGGAAATCGCTAGAGAAGACATAGACCAAACAGAGGTAGCCATAGATGTAATCAAACGGAACGAAAACAAGAAGATTCTATTGCCATTATCAGGCAAATCATTCGGAAACGAGAAGAAGGATCATCAGAAGATTGGGAGAATCGATTCATGGAGAAGATAGATGGAGGCGGCAGCGGGAGATTACGGTGTGAATCAGCCTCGACGCGATGTGCGGCCCAGTCGGATATTGCTCAAGCTCCACCTGTCCCAATAGCGCATTCATCGATGATCCATTAATTCCAAAAAGGAAGCAAGGAGGGAAGACGAGGGCTGAGGGGGAGGTGAAGAGGAGTGGGAAGAACGGAAAAAACGAATGGCGTGCGGAGAGCACGATCTCCTTCTGACCTTCGGGGCAGAAAACTGCTGGAGCTCCCCCAGGAGGCCCTCTAGCTGCTTCAGCTTCATCGCCGATGGCTGTCAAAACCCTAGGTGATGATTTCAAAGCGGATGGAGATGGTGAGAAGTGCGTCGTACGGGTGCTCTTCTACGGCCCAGGCGCTCAGCTCCGGTAGAGGTCTCCTCGTCCCCCGCCGGAGGCGGAATTTGGGGGCGGGCGGTGAACGCCGACGACGGAGGACTGAAGGAGAAGCACGAGGGGCGGATAATGGGTCATTTGGGGCCGGCCCAAGTTTTCTCCATGTTTAGCTCACTTAGCCCACCATATTTTTCATGATCACAATGGGCTTTTCATTATGGGCCGTCCTAATCCTCTACTGGGCAAACAGACCCAAATCGTAATCGTTATACTAGGCGAACTTGCGAGAGAGAGAGAGAGAGAGAGAGAGAGAGAGAGAGAGGAGAGTCCAGAAGGAATGGTAGAGAGAGAAGATAAAACGCCTTCAACAGCTGGGGCGCCGCTGACCCCCTGGCGGCGGGCGGCGGTGCCGCTTTTCTCGAAGTCGAAGGGTTTTGATTCGGTGGCCGCTCTCGCGAGTCCCGAGGTGGCCGACAAAAGAGGACGCGTGCCCGAGGACGCACGGGCGGCGGGCATTGCGGCGATCCAGAAAGCGACAACCAGATGGCGCTGGTAATGAGACAACAAGCTCGAATCTTTGCCATATCATGTGGGACCCACAATCTCGCCACGTCCCTAACACGACGCAGGGATGACGTCATAACGTAGAATCCGAGCCCGCTTGTTGAATCGGATATCGCCGCAATTCGGATTCGAGTAGAGATGCTACAAAGGGCGTGGTTTTAAACGGGTCGTAGAGATTCGGATCCGTTTAGTTATACCTTAGCCGAAGGCTGATAATTAAGGAGAGAGTATATTTTTTTATAATAAGAAAAGACATTCAGAACGTGCGACCCCACTTATTTATACATATTATGAAAATGCCTTCCTAGAATCTCTTACAACATCCTATGTTTTTATTCGGATTTGGATTTTGCAGTTGGATTACGTCAGCAAGGAAGTGGGCCCAACCGACATAGATCCTTGTCTCATGTTGGACGATGTGGCTAAATGAGGATGACCCATGTGGCAGCTCATCTCTCTCTCTCTCTCTCTCTCTCTCTCTCTACGTGTGTGTGTAGTTGACAAGTTCTTACTAGGACCCATAAATAGGAACAGCACCGGCTTGAACAGTCCCATGCACTACTTGCCACTCGCCTTTTCCACACCGTTCAAGGATTGGAGGGTCCCACGTGTTCCCACAGGATCCAGAATGATAGGGTTATCTACTAATGCTGCCCCCATGATTTTTGGATAGGTTATGAAGACCCTAATGGATAGGGCTGTCGAGCCTTACCATGATAATTTTGCTACGTGGATTCCTTACTAAAACCGCCACCATCAATGCATAGCTCATTAGCTAAGGTTAGACCAACTACCCTCTCTCTCTCTCTCTCTCCCATATATAGATATATATATATATATATATATATATATATATATATATATATAGATATGAGTGCATGTAAGGATCCTATTGAAGGGCGTTCTTGAGAATTGTCTTGATCATGTTTTGGCCACGAAAAGGATATATTAACCATACATGCCATGCACAAATGGAATTATCTTTTATGCGGTGTCGGGTGGATGTTAAGTACTCATTAAAGTGGTTATTTGTCAATTCGCAAGGTAAAAGTCAATGCGGGTTGGAATATGTATCGTTGACCCCTTGTAGTGCGGGATGAATAGTTTAACTTAATGCCCTCGTGAATTGGACCATACTTTATCTAAATATGCTGAAAGTTAGACCATCATTTATCGTCTGCAGGAGAAGCATCTATCATCAAACAAAAGGGGAAAATCGTAGCTTAGATAGGAGGGGAGAATATTCCGACGACGCATTGAATTAATGTCTGTAAATTTCATAGTTATCGCCCACAACCATTATGACTCCCCCAGCGTTGAAGATGAGAGGTCCACGTCACCGATGGGCATAAGGTCAATCACTGCCTGCCTGAGGTTTGCCAGGTCAAAGCCCGGCGCTGCGGTGGCGGCGGGCCTGGCTGCGGCAGGTCTTTCTATGATTCTTCCTCGCCGGCCGCGGCGGCTCCGGCGAAGGGTTTGAATGCTCCGGCGGCGCGAAGGGTGTTCTTCTCAGGCACCGGCGGGGGGAGGGGCAATGATGGGTTGAGGAGGTTTCCGGTGAAGAGATCTTAAGCGGACTATGGACAGGTCCTATGCTTGGGAAAGCGTGGATTCGAAAAAGAGGGCCTGCGGCTGCCAGCTTTTCGGGATACGAAAAGCTCTCTCACTCTCTCTCCCTGTCTCTGACCTGGGCTCAAATTAATAGCCTCCTGATCTTCTCTCCATACCGGACTCGTTCTCTGACCTGTGTGGATATCTATCCCCATATTGCGCCTTTCTCTCTCTATCTCTCCATTTATAAATGTACATCTCTCTCTAGACCTCTTCCCGTCTAACTCCGTCCCTCACCCCGCTCTCTCTCTCTCTCTCTCTCTCCCCCTCCCTACTAGCGCGTGTCTCTGAGCCTGTGGTCTCGTTGAAGACCTACACGTGACTGAGCTCGGGAGGGGGGAGCCATCATTGCCGGAGATCAGATTATTCCCTGAAATGGGCCACCATGATTTGAATGCGAAGGTCACATGCCGCAGCCTGAGCCAGCGAACACCTCCCACTTCCCCCGGGAAGGGGGATCGCCGAAAATGAGCTGTTCTCAATGTTTTCATTGATACAGAAATACGAGCGATTCCCAAGGTCATTCTCAAAATCTGCTCTCTCTCTCTGCATATCTCTATTGCTCTCTCTATTTATATGTTTAGTGGTCTCAATAATTCTAAGGACTTGACCTTTCTCTATTCGGCCAGTTTCAAGAATGAAGTCAGCAATCAGTGCATTCCCAAGATCATCTTGAAAATAAGCAACCGCTCTCTCTCTCTCTCTCTCTCTCTCTCTCTCTCTCTCTCGTTTATATTTATCAGCCAATCTGCATAAAGATGGCAAAGATCTAACATTCCCAGGATCATTTTCAAAATTATGAACATATCTCCGACTGTGTCGCGCCTCTCTGCCCATTCTCAAGATGCACCAACGGTCATCTGAATTCCGAAGATCGTTTTCAAAGTCATATCCTTGTTTTCCCTCTCTCCCTCTCTCGCTAATCATGTCAGTAATCCTGTAATCTCCATCTTTTCATATTTTTCCAACATCGTGATGCTATCAACAAAATCCCCAGGTCATTTTCAAACTAATCTCTATCTCTCTCTCATGGTGTAAACAACTCTTAAACCCCCATTTTTCCTCCTTGCCCACTTATTCTCTATGGCAAATCGGTATTCATTTCCCAATATGGTTTCAATGATCCTCTCTTTATTTTGGAGACAAAAACTAAAAAACTCGCAGTTTCCCACGTACTTGCTCGCTCTGTAGTGTCATCTCAATTCTCCCCGAATTCCCAAGATCATTCTCTCTCTCTCTCCCTCCCTCTCCCTCCCTCCCTCTCCGTGTTCAACAGTTTACTTCATCCTTCAGCCTCCCGCGAATCCATAGAGAATAGGGCTCGATAATCTAGCTCAGACAGGGTGAAGCCTGATGCTCCACCATTTCTCCTCCATAGATTGCCACTCTACTATCTAGCAGCGCCACTCCCATTGAGGATAACGTGCAAGAACAGCACCGGAGGGAGGAAGATCTCATAAAACCACAGGGAAGTTTCTGAAATATCTTCTTCTCCATCGCTTCACCGGGAACGTCGGATTCCATGTGATAATGGCTTGAATCATCTCAGTAGGAGATCAGACGAAGAACAAGATACAGCCAGCCCTCCTTGGTGCAAGTGGATGCATCTCATTGGGCAAAGATACACGTTTAACGGTGGAGACCCCCACCTTACGCATACAAGATTAGAGAGTTCTAGAGAGAGAGAGAGAGAGATCATACTCTTCGTTCAGTTGAGGAGAAAATCCACGAGTCCACGGTACCTTTTCCACCTGTCGGTACGTTGTCTGAGGCCTTCTCTGCGCGGTACCCCGATGAACCACCGGGACCTCCGATCCACCGGAGAAGCTCGCTGTCTGCTCCGTCGCCGCCCCTCGACTGCGGGATCCCCATTGGTTGACCGAGATTCACCGCCGTTGCCAAGGGGGCCATCGCCGGTGTTTCTTGGGGAGCTCTCCCGCCGCCGGGGACAGGCAAACTCAAACCGCCGTAGCTCGTGGCCGGGGAGGATTGAAGGTAAGATTGGAGATTGACCATATCCAGTAAGTTGGTGCTATTAATATTATTATTATTCACCATGGGAAATGTTTTATCAGTCGAAGAATAAGTGTTAGCGGCAGACGAGGCGGAATCAACGGATGCAAGGAAGTTCGGAAAATGAGAAGAAGATGAGGAGGAAGAAGAAGAGACGGTGAATGGCCTGAGGAGAGAGAGAGGGGAGGCGGCGGGAAAGCGAGAGCGAGGGAAGGAAGACGAGAAGGGTAGCACCGGCAGGCCAGTGAACTCCTGGACCATGGCCCGGAAGTTGGAGGTGTCAGTCGTCAACACCGTGGTCAACTCTCGGCGGGTCGTCCGCGACCGCTTCTTGGAGCTGCGGGAAGCGGCGGTGAGTAGAGGAGCCGAAGCAGAGCGTTGTGATTGCGGCGGCGGTGGCGGCGGCAAAGGGGTGATGGGGGCGGCGGTGGACGGCGGAGGCGGCGGCGAACCCATCAGATTGGTGGCGGCGGTGCAACTGGAGACGTCGAGGTTGAGGAAGGCATTGGAGTTGCAGGGAGGAGGGAGAGAGCGAGCAATGGCGTCGAGGTACATAAAGAGGGGGTCGATTGAGGGGGAATGGAGAGGAGGGTAGTGAGAGAGAGAAGAGAAGCTGCCGGAGGAGTTGAAGAAGGTGGAGATCGGCTCTGGTCGGGAGTCGTACTCCTCGTCGCCGCCGCTCGAGGACTGCATGCTGCTGCTGTTGCCGGAATACATGGGGGCAGGCGAGAATGGTCTAGAGAGAGAAAGAGAGTGAGAGATTAACGGGGGTCTGTGGTAAATAGGACCGGCTAGGGATCTTTCTTGGAGGGGTTGCAGAAAGTGCTTGTCTTTAGAGGAAGGAGAAGAGGGCGTAGTCAAGCATCAGACGGTAGAAGGTTGGAAGGAGGAAAACGAGGCACTGTTCTTCCATTCGCCTTCTTAGCTTCTCTGAGCTTAACTTCTGCAGATCTGCTCACATAAGGGAGGAGGACTGAAGAGGCCGTCGAAGTACGAATCCAGATGTCTCCCCCATCATCCTCTCTCAGTCGCGGGGAAAGGAAGGAGTTAGAAAGAGAGAAATGAGTTGACCAGTTTGCTTGAGGTGGGGTGAGAGAGATAGGCTTTAGAGCTGTTTCCCCTTTCTAAACCCAGAATCGGCTTCTCCTCGCTCCTCAAGGGTTGAAGACGATGGCGAGAGACAGATAGGAAGCTGGTAGAGAGAAAAAGGCGTCCGAGAAAAGCAGGTTGGCGTTGATCAGGAAGGCCAAAGATTAGAAAAAGAAGAAATAAGGGGAGATGGGGAGAGAACGCAACCAAACGACGGACTAGTAGTTGCTAGGAGTAAAGTCTTGTAGGGAACACAGATAGATAGATAGACTGACGCGAGAGAGAGAGAGGCAGCAGGAGCATGAGCTTTCCCCCGTCTTGTTCTTCCTCGTCTTTCTGCATAGACACGAGGAAGAAGATAAAATGTAATGAAACTATGCGGAAGCACTTGGCAGCCCTACCACCCCACCTCGACTTTTTCGCTTCTTGTCTTCCCACAGCAGTATAAGGCGTGAGCACAAGCAGGACCTTGCCTGATGTCCATTTGGTAACCTCCCCCCCCCCCTTCACCCCACCCTAGATTCCAATCGGAGGGAGGGGAGAAAGGGGAGAGAGAGAGAGAGGAATGAGAGCGAGAGACAGAGAGTAGGTCAAGGAAAGAGATGGAGGAAGACAGTCGAGAGTAATAGAGAATTGGAGAGAGTAAATGGGTCCGAGAAATAGAGAGTTACATATATGAGAGAGTGAGAGATATTGAATATACTGATGGAGAGTGGAGAGTGAAAGAGTGAGGCATACACAGAAAGAGAGACAAATTGATTTATATATATATAGGTCGGTGGAGAGGCGTAAATAGCTACCCGCAGAGAGAGATTGATAGATTAGATCCGGGCAACGGAGAGAGAGAGAGAGAGAGAGAGAGAGAGAGAGAGAGAGAGAGAGAGAGAGAGAGAGGATGGGGGCCATATCCATGAAGTCTCAATTCGCCAGTAGAGTCCTCCAGCAATAGTACCCTCATCTATCTCAGAAATGGTACCTCCATTCCCATTTTCACTGTTCTAGGAAGAGCAGTGAGTGAACTCCAATCCACATCACTAGCAGATGTAGATAGGAGGTAGATCCCCTCCACCCCCACCCCCCTCCTCCTCACCCATCGCTAGCGTCAAACAGCGAGTTCCGGCCAACAGTCGAACCTGTGAACAGTCTACGTCTCTCCTTCGTCCTCAAGAGGCACGGTGGTTCGTTAGGTTTACCATCCGCATCGTCTTCCACAGCGCTCCCATCCCCTTGACCTGGTCTCAGGCTCTCACCATGACCAGAAGCCTCGAGAGTAAAAGAAATGGCAAAACAAACCTACCCACCCCGTAAGCTCGTCCCTCCGCTCCGTATACGATATGGAAAGAGACGAAGGTGGGCGCGGAGAGAGTGAAAGAGAGATGGGGAAAGAGAAAATGATCAAAATGGTAAAGAAGATGAGATATGGAAATATAATCTACCATCTCCTTCATATTATATCGAATTTCATTATCTTTTATCCTCCGACCCGCTCGGCAAAATCGCGGCCCTCGCCACAGTCAGAGAGCTTCAGATGATCATAAAGGAAAGCAAAACTACCCTACCGCCCGTCGTTATTCTATTGCCGGTAGCTTAGAAGCTCGCCTTCTCGCATTGACCTCTTCGCGTGTCCTCCTCGAAGGCGGCGCAGGAAGGTGAGGCCGGCACAACTACAAACTCCTGGTTCGGTGAAGCAGTTGACCAACGATGGAAGCCGGTTAGACGAAACTGTTTACGTAGACCTCCATCCAAGCACCGAGGCTGCCGTCGCCGTCGTCATCGCCGTCACCGTCTACGACGCCGACATCGCCGGCGGCCGCTGGACGGGAGCTGCGGCAGCGGTGGAGCACCGTCGATGGAGAAGACGATTATCACGCCGTTCGATTGTACTAGAAGCAGAGATCGGACGGTTCTCATACCTCCAGCAGTGGGAAAGAAGATCTCGTCTGTTGACCGGTGAACGGAGGTTGTAGAGTCAACGTCTGGATTCCTCTTCCCGTCGGTGGAGTTGGTCTCCGGATGGGCCACTGCTACTTGGGCTGGCAGGTAAACAGAGCCCAAGTGTAACACTTTGGACCGAGTCGTAGATAGGCCCATTAACACGAGTAAACTGTGCAAAGTAATTGATGGCCCATTAATGTTAAATAACACGTGGCCTTTCAGCGGCCTCGCACCTGTGGGGGAGCCATGGCCTCCGTCTTGCCTTACAGGCGGTGAAGCTCCATGACGAGCTCTCTCGGGTAGAAGATTAAGGAAGGAAGAAGAAGAAGAAGAAGAAGAAGAAGAAGAAGGAAGAGGATGTTGAGGAAGGGGAGGGGGTTAGAGAGAGAGGGATGGAGGGCGGCGACGAGGAGTTTCTTCAATGGGACAGTCCCAAAGGAGGGGGACTTCCCCGTGCTGGAGGGCCATCCCAAGGCGCAGGAGAACGCCGAGTCTGCCGTACGGAGGTACGGGCTAAGCCGGCGGCAGACGGCGGAGGGCGAGAAGGGGAAGAAGGTGAAGGAGTTCCAGATCTACCGGTGGAATCCCACCTCCCCCAGCAGACCTTTCCTCCAGTCTTTCTTCGTCGATCTCGCCACCTCCGGCCCGATGGTAATTATTATACGCTGGCTCCCCTCCCCCACTCTCTCTCTCCCTCTGTATCTCTTGTTCTCTCTTTCTCTCTCTATCTCTATCTCTTGTTCTCTCTCTTTCTCTCTGGTTCTTTTGTCTGTCTCTCTCTAGCTTTTTTCTCTGGGCAAAGGTGTTGGACGTGCTGCAGAGGATCAAGGCGGAGCAAGACCCGAGCCTGAGCTACCGGAGGTCATGCAGGGAGGGGATATGCGGCTCCTGCGCGATGAACATCGACGGCCTCAACAACTTGGCGTGCCTAAAGCCCATTGATAACGACGCCTCCAGGCCCTCCATGATCACCCCCCTCCCTCACATGTTCGTCGTCAAGGACCTCGTCGTCGACCTCTCCAACTTCTACCAGCAGTACAGGTACATCTCTCGTCCTCCATTTAACACGGAATAAGAGAGAGGAAGGATGTCGTGAAGACTTCTCTCTCATCTTCTTGTTCTCTCTATCTCTCTCTCTCTCTCTCTCTCTCTCTCTCTCTCTATGTCTCCTGCGCCGTTGTGAGGTCCATCGAGCCGTGGCTGAAGACGAAGGGTAAGCCGGAAAACGGGAGAGAGTACAGGCAGTCGCCGGCGGAGAGGAAGAAGCTGGACGGACTGTACGAGTGCATACTTTGCGCTTGCTGCAGCGGCGCCTGCCCAGAGTACTGGTGGAACCCTGAGTCCTTCCTTGGCCCTGCCACCTTGCTGCAAGCCTATCGATGGGTCTCCGACAGGTAGAGCTCACTCTTCTTCTCTCTTTCTGTCTCTCTCTCTCTCCATATCTATCTATCTATCCACCCTTCCATCTATCTCTGTCTCTCTTCTTGCAGTCGGGATGAGTACACGGCGGAGAGGTTGCAGGCCTTGACGGAAGACAGGGACAAGCTGCACCGGTGCCGGAGAGTCGGCAACTGCACTGCCAACTGCCCCAAGAGCCTCGACCCCGAGAAGGCCATCGAGACGATGAAGCAGGAGCACCTCTACCCGTCCTTCCTCCGTCCATTGCATTCTACGTTGGCTGTGTAGCCGGCGGTGCCCTTCGCCACTGCCTCCTTCCCTCTGATGACGAATAATACTAGTATAAGGCTCTCTCTCTCTCAATATATATATATATATATATATATATATCTTTACATAATATATTTATGGGAGTGACCCTTTTGTGAGGTGCTACAAGGGAACTAACAGGGGAGTTGAAGTGGTCCTTTTCGGATTTAGGTTTTATATCATAGTTAGGGTGTGCTAATACTTGAGTCAACTTCCAATATGATAGATAATATATCATTACTTTATAGTAGTTTCCGCTTTAAAACTTATTAATTTTTGTGTGAAATAAAAAATGAATATGAATAACTAATTCGTTCCCTTATTATAGATTCTTAGATTTATGTTGGCTCAAGTATCTGTACTACTAGATTTAAATTTGTGTAGTTAGCATTTGTTTTTATAGTGTTGGTTCTAGGACAATTCAAGTTTCATTACTATTCACATCTAGTGTTACCCTTTTATTATTAATAATATTTTATAAAGTCATAATAACATTTCTAAATGTTTTATTTGGTACATTCTTTTGAGAGTGGAGTGCAAGTCTCTATCAAGAAATTGGGATGCTGATGAAGAAGTTGCCTTCTACAAGCTTAGACTTTCAATGTGCTAATTATCTTCTGAAGATATGGAAATTTCTATTAAATTAGTTTTGAGTTGTGGTTAATCCATTTATAGAAAATTATTTTCTATTTTTTAGTGTAAAATAATGACAATTTTATGGGTATTGTAGTCTTTTGCTGTACAAGGCTTGTCTTAAATATTTTTATTCTCCTCGTATAGGATGAGTCAACTTTTATAGAAATCTAAAAATAAGTGATGGTACTTCCTATTTATCTAGAACTAACGTGAAGCTTTGTCACAAAAAGTTAGTAAAATATATTATCTTTAAATTAATCTTTATATAGCATAGTTCTCTAATGAAAAATTATCATTTGACCTTTTAGGTTGCTTTTTCAATATTTAGATGAAAATTATTTTAAAACCAATAATGTGATTGTGAATAAAATCGAATAAATAGTAAACTCAATATGCAAAATAAAAGGATAGTTTCTTGAGCATTGGATTCAAGAAATACGAGCCATTGATCCATAATGGGCCTTACTATAACCGATGTTAGACTTGTTTTACCATGACAAGACATGTAATGGAATAAATTAAAATATCTAAATTAGTTTTATTTATGCTATTTATTTTTTTACTTCAATCTTTATTTTGGGCACGTAGGGTTATCTAATATCGACTAGTATTTAATGATCTTGTAGAGAAAAACATGGCGAATGCGGATTGGTCTTGTGGGTTGGGTTTCATTGATCTATATTCCCCAAAAGGCATCTAATCGTGACATAAGGATAAGCATCACGGACTACCAGCAGTATGATCTTCAACGTCTCTCATCAGATTCTTCAAGGAAGCTTCACACACGAGAGAGAGAGAGGGAGAGAGAGAGAGAGAGAGAGAGAGAGAGAGAGAGAGAGAGAGTAATCAGCATGGGAAGACCCAGGAACCTCCCATCACCTCCGGTGATTATTCGGGAGATATTTACCAAAACAAGAAGCAGGGCCACGACTCAGACAAAAATTTCGACTCCTCCATGGCAAGATAGGCTCTACTGCAAACCCTTGCTGGTGTCATTACCGCCGCCGCCGCCGGACCCGCATTCGTCCCTTACAGCCGATAGCTTGTGAGGGGGCTCGTCGAGGGACAGCCACTGTTGCACTTTGAACGTCCGCTGATGGCACGGCAGCCGGGGCCCCGTCGCCGTCACCTGCACGAACTCGCAGTACCACCCTCCGCCACCGGCGGCGCCGCCACCGCCGGAGACGGTGATCTCCACGGAACACGGCGGCGCCGCCAGGCAGCGCGCCCTGCCGGAGAAGGCGTCGATGGCGCCCCACTGGAAGTACTCGTGACCTGGCCACATCACGCCGCCCCACGCGGTCACGTCAGGGACGGAGAAGCAGTCCCCGCCAGGGCCGCAGAGCTTGACGCCGACGGCGCCGCCGTCGGCCCACCCCTTCCACTCCGTTCCCGTGCCGACGTACACCGTGTACACGCAGAGCTCACCGTCGACCTGCCCAAAGAATAAATACCTGGTGAGTAGGGACAGGTCGGCACGAGAAGGAAAGGCGGAACTTCTTCTTCATTTCCGGGGGGGGTGGGGGGGTCGACCAGAACGGGGCCTCTGTCTTCTCCGGCGATATGGCGGAGGGTGGCGGAGAGGGCGGCGGCGGCGAGAAGCGCGCCGAGAACGACGGCGGCGAGGTTATTCATCTGCAGTCTTCGGAGCTTCCTTCAGACTTGGGCGGGAGGGGAAAGGAGCACTTCGCAGCCGATGATGATAATACTGGCGGAGGAGGTGTGGGAAAGGTTTTGCAGACTTTTGGTAATGGCGGGTGATAAATAATTCGGGGCGTACGATTAAGTCCCGACGGAAAATAATATTTAAATAATATCGGAGTCTGAGTGCATATGTCTAATTACTTTCATCAGAAGGTAAAAAAACATTGTATATATATCATAAATAGAGGGTTACGGAGCAATTTTATAATTTAAGGTGGTCAGAAATTAAGAGATGCGGTCGGCTTCCGATTCTCTCTCTCTCTCTGAAGCAAGCGGGGGACACATCTGAAGAGAGAGAGAGGAGAGAGAGAGAGAGAGAGAGAGAGAGAGAGAGAGAGAGAGAGAGATCTGGGGTTTGGGGAAGATATCGAATTGAGACGATTCGAGATCGAGGGAGATATCTACCGGTTTTTGAGTTGAGATCGAACAGAGTAGGAAGAATTGAGGAAGGGGAGGGGTTGAGGAGGAATGAGTCGGCGGGAGATCCCTCCCTGCTCGAAGACGTACGGATTCCCACTGTACTGCGCGTCATGGGTACCCTTAGAGATGATAGCCGCCAAGGTTGCCGCAACTTCTGCCGCCGGAGAAGGGGGAGGGGAGAGGGAAGCGGAGGAGAAGACTGAAGGCGGAGATGAAGGGAGTGAAACGGCGGGTGGAGGAGAGAGCGCCAGCGAGGGGTCCTCCGGTCTCGAGGAGGTCTCATCTAACGAGTTGATGCTGGTTCTGGGGGGAGGAGGAGGGGAAGGCCAGAGCGGCGTCCCCAATGCTCTCCTCCTCGCACGTTTTGATCAGACCTCCCGTTCTCTCTCGGACGAGCCCGTGAGTGCTAACCTTGCCCCCTAGTCCCTGGGAAAATGCCATTTTCCGGTGCTACTGGCGAATTTTCCTATGCTCATATTTGTTCAATTCCGGTTGTTCATCTCATGGAAAATTCAGATCAATTCACAAGTCATAGATCTTTTGATCGACTTTGTAATTATCTTTTCTGCTGTGACCTCTTCTGGCAGGTTCACAGGCTGGGAACCGGTCAGGATGTGCCATACAGGATGGCATTGCATCCGAAAGGGGATGGTATTCTCTGTTCGTTCCCTAATGGCTGCAGGTTTGGCTTCTTTCTATCTCTCTCTCTCTCTCCACGCGTACCTATATATATGTATATATATGTTCGTTCGCTCATTTTTTTTCTTTGAATATATGAGCACGGCGAACACTCGCTTTTATAGTATGCGAGATTGAATTATGGAGGCATTATGCTTATAGTATTGAAAAAATAATGGAATAATTGAGGCACTGTGCCTTTAATATGGACGAACCTTCTCTTACCTTTGCAGTTGATGAGTCCTCAATTTGCTAAATAACTGTAGATCATCTCTCGAATTAAAACAGTTCTTCATTGTTCATGAACTACGTCGGGAAGTTCCTTGCAAGTTTGAAGTATCAGTTTTTCGATTGTATACTGGGGAATGACGTTGTTTACGATGGCCATGTCTAGTAAGCCGTCATGTGGTTGCATTGAACGTCTTCAGCCTTCTATGTTCCATCTTTAATTATCTCTGTATTATGCCCCTGTTTTAGCTCCATATTTCCACATACGTAGCAATTGGGTGTTGAGTCTCCGCTGCATCTGCACTGTGGCAAATTTCTTCAACCGGTAAAGATCATGCATGGAGTTTTTGTCCCCCTTGTTTCTCAGATACCTTTTCGGCCATTATACCATTATCTTTCACAGCCTATGCTCGTTTAGGCTTCAATTTCTTTCATTTATTTGTCTCTTTGTCTTTTCTCTCCATTAAAGTTGCACAAGAGTTGTACTATATCTTGGCTAAAAGATGTCACACTTGATCTCTCTTTATGTATTTAACTTAAATTGATGACTCATATGACGAGAATTTCTAGTTCTCGATGAATCTTTAGGTGGTTTGAGTGGGAACCTTCTGAAGACAAGAAGGCTCACCAACTTGGCATAAAGTCTTCAGGGAGGGTGCTGACTCAGTTGGAAGATATTGGCTTGCAATTGGCCCTGGCTTTCAATGCAGAAGGTTCTCTGCTAGCAACTGGTGGTGAGGTAGAAAGTCTGCTTCATGCTTTTTCTTTTCTCATAATGACTTACTATCATCTGACAAGAAAAATGTAAAAGACGGATGCTTCTTTTGCATTCAAATTTAAAGAGAAGAATATAGCAGATTTCAAAATTATCCTTTTTTTTATGATTTCCTGATGACTGGCTAACTAACTAAATTGAATGATGTAAAACCTTGTAAATTTTGCCGAACATTATATTATGCAACATAAGATGTTCCTTACCTTCCGGTTTTCCATTGTTTAATGGAGAAACTTGGCATCCTTTATTCTAAAAAGTTAGAAATAACTGCCATTCACTCTCCATCTGGTACGTATGACAAGCTAGTTCGGGGAGTATTCACTAATTTCTTCAGAATTTTTTTTACGAAACATCTGATTCTGAAACTGGATATCGGAGACAATAAGAGTAATGTAAAAGTATTCCAGGCCTCTCAGCCCCAATGGAGGCCAACGTCATCTCTACCCTCTCTCTGGTACATATGACAATCTATTTTGGGAAGTATGCTCTGATTTCTTCAGAGAGGATTCAACGGGAACATTCCGATACTGGACATTGGAGAAAAATGATGGTAACGTCCTTTTGTTGTGGGCATAATGCAGCCCTCGTACTTCCAATAGAGATTGGTCGGTGTCTCTGCAGCCACTTAAAAGATATTTCATTTGATTTTGTATCGTCTCACATTACAACTGGGTCCACGTTCCGAGTAATTTATTACCAGGGCCTTGCTTAGGCACATGCTACATTTGGGTCCTTTACTGATGAACACGTGATTGGACCCATATTTGCAGAAACTCTGTTGAGGCTGGGGTTGGCCCGTTGAAATTTCAATTGATCTCTTCTCTGTGGGCAGTAATGGAGATTAGAATTGAGGATGGATGTCTGCATTTGGAGGTTAATAAAGAAAGATCCCGTGGAGAGTTCAGATTGTGAGCGTTTAAGCAATGAGAGCCACATATCATTCCACCTATGACAGGGATTCCTGATGTGGGGGATTCCTGATGTGGAGAAGTTATGAAGATTAAGTTATGACCTAGACGATGGTGCCACATGACGCAGTGTCTTTATTCGAGAATTATCTCCAAGTGGAGGAGACTATACATCTGGAGGTCGTCGTTTGATCTGTTAGTACATGTTTTTATCTCTTCTTAGTGTTGACCATGAACATGAAGGAGGGATCATAGATTTTTTTTCTCATTTGCTGAGGGCTAACAATTTGTTTCCCCAAAACCTTGCTGAAGGGGAGGTTCCACATGTGGATACGGTCTGTGACTTGTGAAAGGTTGACCGACTTTTGTGGGGAGGGCATTGGGACTACTTGCTCTCTATTTGCTAATCAATCATCTTTTCAGTGACAACCGGCTTGCCTGGAATACTTTCTAGAAGGACATCTGGGAGAGGGGAGGTTAGGAAATGTTGGTCAGAATATTCACCTATTGATGCTTTTTCCTTGGAGTGGCCAATGGGTAGTAGGCATTCATATCTTTAACAAGGGAGACATGGTGTCACATAGAATTATAATATTCAAATGATTTTTCCTAGATCCCTGGTGTAACATTCATATTTGGAACGATTTTTGGGTTCTGGAAGAAACATAGAAGAAACATAGAAGAAACAATGGCGCGCTTCTTTTTCTTTTGGTTACAAATACGGTGGACTCTTATTCAGATTACTTTTATTTCTGCATCTTGCTGTATGGATCAATCCAAGGACTAGTATTATGATTACAATGAATACCCAATTTACGTTTCTTTTAGCATGGTAGACTTCAGCTATGGAGATTCGTTTACTGTGTCTAGTATTTCTGATCGTGTTGTGATTGCCTGCAATAGGATGGTCACATGAGGATCTTCAAGTGGCCTTCAATAGAGCTGGTCTTTGAACAAAATGAAGCCAAAAAATCTGTGAAAGATCTATATTTCAGGTGGTTGACAAAACATACATTCTCCACAAAAAAACTAAACCATTTGACCTTTTTATGTTCTGTTGGTTGACTTCTCTTCTCCCACCTTGATTCTATGCAGTTGTGACGGCAAATTCCTCGCATCTGTGGCAGATACTGGGCTCTGCAGGGTCTGGGACCTGGGTTCTCTGACCATTGTAGCAAATCTGTTGCGGGACAATGTGGGAAATTTGCCGAAAAAGTCGGAGAATTCATTTGAATCAGCTTTTCATGGGCTTGAGAATTAAATGGTTAATGGATATCTTCTGCAGGGCGAGAAGTTTCTGTTCTGTAGGTTTTCTCAAGCAACTGATGAGAACACAATCCTGTACACGCTGTCAACACAAGGTTAGAGAGAATCGAGAGTCTGGTTTCCTGCCTCCTTGCAAGTTTGTGTCGGTTTATGTTTTACTTTGAAACTTAAATATTATCAGATCAATTTGCGAAGATCGTTTCCTGGAGCACCACGTCCTGGAACAGGCTCACATCGAAGAATGTATCCAAGGACCCAGTCTCCGCGTTTAGTGTCTCCCCTGATGGGAAGCTCCTCGCTATGTAAGTCTTTAAAAACTTTGCATTTGTCTTATAATAGACTTAGTTTCTTAGTCCCATTGTGTAGCTTGAATATTTCATTTCATAAATATTCTCTTAATTAGATAATTTCTGCCTTATCTCAGTTTCAAATACGGGAAAATATATTTAATTTCTATACAATCTTCAGAAATATGTCTGTATCAGTGACTTTCACTTGATTTGAGATGGAGCTTTAGTTCTTCTAATTTTGCGTGTTTTTTGCTTTCATACTCCCATCAATTTATCGTACACTTGTGGAAATTTCGTGGGATATTTTAATGCGACAGATCAGTATTATTGATTTATACGCGCCCTAGATCAAATATGGATGCTGGGGGGTTCTCGCTCTCAGAGCACGATCTCATCATTCTGGAGTTGGCCATATTATGCTATAAATGTGGCTAATCATTTATTCTCACCAACTGTATTTATTGCCTTGGCTTTTCAGTACACAGCTGCATGGTCTGCAGATTTTTCTTTTTTTTTACAACCAACCACCCATGAATTTTAGCCATGATTTTAAAAAATAATAATAGGGTAACTATTGCTCTAAAGATCTGAGGAATTACTATTTTTGTCAAAGTCTGCTGATTTTTAACCAATTATCTCTATTTATTCAACAATGAGTATAAGAATCCTGTCCTATCTTGTCAACCTTCAGAGGGACGATAGAAGGGGATGTGGTGATCCTGGACTCCAGCATGCGAGTCAACTCGGCAGTCAAACGGGCCCACCTCGGCCTGGTTACCACGCTAGTCTTCTCTCATGATTCAAGGTCAACCCACCCTCCACTTCTACTAATAACACCATCATCTTAGTTTCAACCGTGGTCAAACTTGGCGGCTGTTTCATGGTGGTCCTAGGGCTCTTGCTTCCGCATCCTTTGACTCAAGCACGCGGGTGACATTGGTCGAGAAGAAGCGGAGAGGAGGTAACCAGACTCATATTTAAGTGATTTTCCGTGGACAACCGGTGCTGCCATAGCTTGCTTTCTAAACATGAACCCTCCCCCCCCCTCTCTTCTGTTGCTTGACCAGAGGCGGTGAGCATGTGGGTCATCTTCTTCATCATTTTACTGGCTGCCATTCTGGCTTACTACATCAAGGAAAATGGCGGGCTGCTGTGGTGAACTGTGGTCAACTGTGGAGGAATACTATGGAGGAGGTGACCAGACCCCTATCTAGCTGATCTCCCTCTTCTGACATTGCTTGCTATAAATATAAAACCCTCTTCTGTGGTTTGACCTGGGTGATCCCACGGGTCGTCGTCTCCATGATCTTACTGCCCGTTCTGGCGCACTGCATGAAAGAAAATGGTGGGGTGCTGTGGTCAACGGTGGAGACAGTGAAGGGGGGGAAGTGGTGTGAGGCCTGACATGGTGCGCACATTCTTGACTTGGCTTGTCAGAATAAAATGGGTTGTTTTATTTCATGGGATGTTCTAATTGGGGCCATTGGCCAGAGAGAGAGAGGAGAGAGGAGAGAGGAGAGAGGAGAGAGGAGAGAGGAGAGAGGAGAGAGGAGAGAGGAGAGAGGAGAGAGAGAGAAAGAGTCCCATGGCTTTTTTGCCAGGCCTATATTTCCCCGTCAGACATAATTTGGAAGCCAAACTCCAGAAAAAAAAAGCCGCGCGCCACATCAGGCTCCGGTTCACCCACTGGTTTGAAACATCCTAGGAGCACCATGGCATCCGAGTCAAATCCTAAACGAGTCAAACGGTCCGAAGCAACAGGAAAGCTCAGAACGAAGGCACTCCGTCCAGCAGGTTTGGTGGGTTCAATCGAACTGCTGTCTCAGGTGCATCTCGGTCTCGCTCTTCCAGGTGGCGTGGCTCGACTGTCCCCTCATCCTCTTGCTCTTCTCCTTGTCCTTGATCGTGGAGCCCTTCCTCTCTCGCACTGCGCCTGGTTCTGCCGGCGGCCTGTCTCCACATATCGGGCAGATCATCCCTCTCGAGTGCGTGTAGGTCTTTGGCACCCCGCATTGGATGCACATCCTGCATGCAGAGGAGCAGAGAAAAAAAACAAAATATAAAAATATAAAAATATAAAAAATAAAAATCAATCGATCACCTCATCTCACTTTGAGCAGCCATTGGCGACTGCATGATTATCTACTCTACACACCCATTTGAGGAATGATTGGTCATCATTCATTTCTATATCCCGGTAATTTTTATATATTCAAAGCATGCGGCGCTGGACCAGCATGAAAAAAATAAATCTTTGACCATGAGCGTGGTATATGGGTCACCTTAGAAGCTCTGCGGCGTCCTCTGGTTCAGGATTGGCGGCAGTGATGACCCTCTTGCCTTCGCCAGGGTTCACAATCCCAGGCCCTTCTTGTGGAGCCTGGCCGCCGTCAAGATCACTCCTCACTCTTTCCCGGATGCCAACAAGCTGCGGTTTGGCCTCCACAACGACGCCTGAGATCACAAGAATTCTATGAGGAGAGAGGTCTATAAAAGGCAAAGCGGCAAACGGATTGCAGTCCACCGCTGCCACCGCTTGATTATTGCTATTACTTGCTGTGCTGCCGTGCTGAAGGAGGCGCAGTGGAAACCAAAAAAAAAAAGGTGCCCATGGAAAAAATGCGGGTTCACAAGAAAAATGAAATAATTAAGATGATCAAATGCTGCTTCATAGAGTTGACTTGAGTATGACTACTTTAGATTAAATAGCAATGATGTTGCAAGTGACCATCAGAGAAGTTGAACATTTTCCACCGGGAGTCTTCTTGATCTTCCTTGTTGAAGCTAGGATGACTTGATCTTCCCCCCTGGTGTTAACAAAATCCTAGGGCTCCCCATCAGGAACAAATTCTTTATCAAGATCTATAACGAGAGACAAGACTTCACCAAGATCAGGAAAAAATGCTTTAACAAGAGGCGAGACTTCACATGAAGATTTACGCTCCTGTCAGATAAATCCTTCCTTGCTCTTCGTGGAGCCCCCCAGGAAAAATCCATAAGAATAGCTCAGGATTCCCTGCCTTCTTATAACCATGATCAGGGATTCGTTTTGGAAAGGAACATGGAAATGAAGATCGTAACACCAGAAAATAATTCGTGATTCTGTTTCTTTATTTGATTCTATTCCTTCACATCGATGCTGAGGTTAGGCACCTATTTTCCTTCAGGTCACTATTAGCTCAGTTCCCTCTTAAGAAAGGGCTAAGAAGGATATCTAGTAGACAAGACAGGAATTGTGGCTATGGAGCTGCTGAGAAGCACTCACTCCTTTTTGTGAGGATATTTCCCTATATTTCTTTTGACATGTATTTATTGCTACAGTGATGATCTAGATGTGTGTATTGAATGGGCATGAAATTTTCGGCCCATTTTATCCTTTGAATTATTTTATTACCGTACTAATAGAAAAATCATTCTTCAACAAGGTTCAAAGATTGCCTATAGGGACGTTGTGATGCTTTGGATAAAAAGAGTTTTTCAAATATGAATATAAATATAAAGATAAATAATTCATGTCGGCTAACATGTTCGCGAAAATAATTAATTTAATAGTAATTTCATTATTAAATTCGTAAAAAACATTATGACAAAAAGTGATTTGAAAATTTATATAAATACGATGTACTATAATGAATATAAAGAAGCATAAATAATGTTGACCAAAAAACCATTGAAACATTTTTTCAAATGATTCGTGCTTTAGTCCCTAATTGAAGCACTGAAATGGGAAAGTGGTCGGAACAAGTTCCATTTCCTATGCTTTTTAGATCTAACTAATCTTATACAGCCCAAGGTTTGATCATTCCAGAGACTGCTAAATTTTTCTTGGCATCATTTGCTCTGCCTTTCTTCTTTTCACTAAAATTTGGCCTCAACTCATCTTATTTCGTTTATAGAACTTCTAAATTTTCACTTCCCATATAAGACATGATTACCAGTCTATTTAACTGAATGATCTTACCTGACCCATATTGTTGTGGGCGGCATGAATGGAGAGTGTTAAAAGGAGTATCTTGTAACTTTCTGCAAGACAGATTACTGATTTGAGAGACCAATATACTTCAACTCTGTTGATGCCACTGATGAGTGCTTCAAGCCATTTAAGCCATTGATGCCTCCTTCAGACAAGCTGGGGCATCTTCATGTCTTGCCCCTAGAGGGTCACTAAATAATTTCAAGATAAAATGCCTCGGATTCTGACTGCAGGCCTTGTACTATAAAGACTGAAGCCCAGCTAAGTAGATTTCTCATTCCAATCCAGTAAATCAATATATCATCCCTTTCATTATCTTCTAATTAGAAAACCTCGTCAACGCTTATCAGTCCCTCCATGTACCCAAAGGGGTTGGCTTTAGCCCCATCAGGTGTCGCTGGAACTAGAAGATCATCAAAGAACATCATTATTTTTCAAATATTAACATTTTTACGAGAAAAGGAACCTCAACTCTCGTGTTCACCCTCATTTCTAAATTTATTATTTACCACTTTCCATTAAATTGGTTAATTACATAATTTTCTCCATTGTGTATGATATAAAACTTATCTTCGTGTTAGATTTATATGAAGATCCCGCACTGAAAAATTTCTGCCTGCTCTGGTCCTCTGGGGTTGATATTCACCGAATTCCCATCAATTTTGATTACTCTCGTTGTTCCTTTCCCAATATTCCAAGGTCAGATTGTTTTGCGTTAACATGACACCATTCAATACGAATAAATACGGTTTTTCTACCTAAATTTCCTTAGATGAAAAGCCGTCCAAAATCTGAAAGGTTCTGTGGTTTTCACTTAGATTTCCATACTCTTAATGTGTTCGAAAACTTGGACTCGAGTCATCTTCTCAATCATAATGAAGAACCACAGTATCTCTACCGAGTAATGAGTAGCCAGATCTGTGAGTATAGTGCTCGTGCTTACCTGCTGGGAGATCCTTCTCTCTTCTGAGCTTTCGACCTACATGGCCCCGTCTGCCGGTTTCCCTATGTGGATCCCTCGGTTCCGCCGAAAGCGCCTCCACGGAGTTATTGAGGAAATCCGGCGGCCCGGAAACCTCCAGAAAGCAAAACCCGAGAAAAGAAGACTAGGGTCAATAAAACTCTCGCGGACTACTCCCCGCTCGGAAAATAGACAGAGATAACGGGAGCTACCTCGGAGAAGACGTCTAGGGCGGAAGGAAGCAAGGAATTGGATGGGAGACTCGGGGAGCCGTAGGGAAAGTTCGAAACCCCCGCAGCGCTCCGGTTCTTCCTCGGAGGGACGTGTTCCCCTTTCTCATCGCTAAGAGAGGAAGGCGCGCCTCTCCCTTCCTCTTCCGACGACTGAAAACCCTCTTCCTGCTCCTCCGCCGGCTCCTCCTCGGCTGAAGAGTAGCCCTGCAACAGCGTCAGGCTCATCGCCCTCCCTCTCCCTTACGGGGTGCTCTTCCCTTCCTTCAGGAGGACAGAAAGTAGTGGAAGCGTCGAAAATAAATGAGTTATTGTACACAAAAGCACACAAAAGAAATCATGAACAATTCTAACAAAAAGTAATTTTATTTGCATTAGTACTCCTATTTTGCACTAATACGATATCATTGTAATGATTGTAATGATTTCTCGCATATAATCCTCATTTATCACACATGGTATTAAGGAAGGACCCGATGATCATGCCAACTGTCTAGAAGGGTGAGCAGACTTAATGTTGTGAATTAATCAAGTAATCTTCAAAGTTTAATGTTTATAATATGGATTGTTATATTTTTTTGGTCTTTACTCTAGAACAACTTCTAAAGATGCAGTAGAAATCAACAATTAGCTCAATTAATCAATAAGAATACTTAACCTAATATACATACAATTCTAATATATTATCTAATTAAGTTGATTACAATTACATTGAATAAGTCATTGTGAGGCAAAAAGTTTGATTATAATAATGTAATCAAGACAAGTAGGTTAATGCACGCATAATTTTATAATTCATCTCATGGCTTATGCCCACCATCCTAACTGATCATGATTCTTTAGGATTTCACTGACATCTGCAAGTATTATATTTAGATACTTATAGACAATGTTGAATACTTCTTGTGCGATTACATTACAGATAACACTTTCATTCTCGAGAAACTAGCAATTGACTTGTTGATGTGATAAACACCCATCATATAGTTTTTGATGATATTATCACTCTTCCATTGACCTTGTGGCTTTGGTTCACCATACACAACTCAAGACAAGCACAAATAACTACATAATTTAACCAACAAGATTACTTGGTGAAGTACAAGATTATATGACTTAGGTAATTAAATCAAACAAAGTTGTCACAAATTTATTTTATGAAGAATAGTAGTTGTAAATCTAGTTGGGGATAATCTTTAGAGTAAGTGTTGATTGAGATATTTCTTTTGAATTGTTATGTTAGCATCAATCTATAGTGGTATAGCTTAATCATGTAGTACCTTATTTGTCACATCATCTAAAGTTTGCCTAAATTAGATCAAGGCTTTATTGTATTCAACAATATATGATCTTTCTTTGATTTCTTGGGCATTTCAAATCTTTCAAAATTTAACAAACTTGAACATCCTAAACAATAGTAGTTATTCTCATAATTTGATGTGGCTAGTATATACATTAAGAGTTAGCTTCAAAAATGTTTTTTTAATATTTTATATTATTCTAGAGCTATTTCTGTGAATTAAAATTATAGTGGTTTGACATAATCTTACTTGGTACGACAAAATTTTATAGATCAACACAATAGCACAAGATCATGTGGGTTGACACATACATTGACTTGACTAAGTTGGCACACTAAGTTCTAATACATTTAGAACACAAACATTTTTCTTCGTCCTTTACCGATCTACTTTCTAACAATCTCTTCCATTGGTTTTTATTGTTTTCTCCTAGAAAACTATAGTTGAAATTTATTTGATTAGTAATCCCATCTCACATTATAAATTTCATAGGTCTATCTCCCTATGGTAGACACCAAGCCATTTGCTTGCTTATCTTCTCATATTATAACTATTCTAAGAGTGACTTCATGTATAAAATGAAGTTCTAAGCGCTTATAGTGATATTCAAATGCTTAGAGGTAACTTCTTTATGATGTGAAATCATAATGTACACCAAGAGAAATCAATAATACCACAAAGGTAAAAAAAAAAAGAGAGTCAATAAGGCTATGATGGGACCTTCAATAGTGAAATGCTTATGTCGTTCTATGCATAATACCCTTCCTCATAACCTTGAAATAACTTAGTTGCCCTCCCCTCACTAGTCCTTGTAATAGGTGCTCGGTCTTTTCCTAATTCTGAAGTAAGATAAACTCATTGAGAGCCTATCATTACTCCCTTTTATGAGGGTCACATTGTCAAAGTGGCTCCCACGTGGCTTCAAAGTAAACAAGTTGTCCCATTGAACCAATACTTCTAGTTCATTGGTTGATAGATGAATTCTAATGACTCACCAAGGCTTGACAACCCAATTTAGCTCTACGTATAATATTGGAGGAAGTGGCTGATTGTGGTAATTAGGTATGAGTGCCTTTATTAGTCATGATACATGAAATATTATGTGAATTATCAGAGAAAAAGGAACATGTAGCCTATAGGCAGTTGCTCCAATCATTTAAATGACATGATAAGGGCCAGAATATCAAGAGATGTTGTAAGGTCATAACTTCAGATAACCAAGGTCTCTCATATCATATTGTGCCTCTTACTATTTTCTGTTTAATGGTACATTCATTTTTGATTGAGACTGAGTCAAGTGCTGTTTCAATAGATCCAAAATCTCATCTCGTTCTTGTAACTATCTTCCCACAGGTTCTGCATTTGTAGTTTGAATGCCAAAACAAACAAATGTTTGGGGTCTTGGCCATAAACTATCTTAAAGAGGGTCATGTTTGTAGAAGCTTGAAAGGTAGTGTCATACCAATATTTGCTTATGGAAGTCAAATACTCTACCTCTTTGACTTGTTAGAAGAGAAATCAAAAAAATCCTTAAACAATAGTTTATTATCTTAATTTTTTGCCAATCTTAGTGTGCCAATCTCATGTGTTGAGCTTCTATGTTGACTAATAGACTCTTGTGTTGACTCTTTGTGTCAACCCACTATAATTGAGATTCAAAAAAGTAGTTTAAAATTGATTAAAAATACTAAAACACCATAGGAAACCAATTCACCCCCCTCTTAGTATACTTGCTAGCTTGTTCGGGAACCAACACTATTGTCATGTAATAATTGTAGGATATGTTATGGTATCATGAATAATATAGAAGAAATGGTTGAATTACACTTCTCAAGATTTATAATTTTTTTTACAATATTTTTATATTTATATGCATAAGATTTATAATAGTTTGTTTTATTAAATGTATTATGCTATCTAAGTATCATCTCTTTTGGTTCTATTAATTCTTTAGTGAGATTACATTGAACTTAATGGCTTCAATTAGGTTTCATTGGATTTACCAGCTCCAACCTATTTAGTCATTTAAGCAAGAAACCATCTTCCAAATTCATGGCTCCATGGAGCTAAATAGAGGAGCGTCAAGCTACTCTCTTCTATATTTATATTTCTAGGGGGCCAAAACTGCATTAATATATTGCTGATTCCTTTTGGATTGGGGGCTCTACTCAAATAAATTACTTTTTTGTTAAACTCATATGGTTGTGAACGAGTTACCATTCTTTGACATTTTAGTTCAAGATCTTTTGCAGGCTTCAATTTCATTGACTAGTGTGGAAGGTCTCACAAGAAGGAGACTTTGATGACTTGACTAATATTCTTTCTTTCCAGCGCCCAAGTATTTGCATGATTATACTTGTGACATTGACATTGATTGAAAAACTATCAAACTATTTGAAGTGTACAAGGACTATTTTACCCTTGTGTAAATTTTGTTTGATTTAAGACCCATTTCCATCTATAATGATTTAGATCAAGAGGAGAGAATGTTGTTTGTGCTTCACTAATTCTTTGGAGTATTTGTAAATTGGGCCATGTTCAAAGCCTAATTTATCTTTGGGTATATCTTGATTTTTGTAGGGTTCAAAGAAAATTTTATTGAATAAGTTAGATGATTTCTCCAGACAAGCCTTAATCCATCCAAAGCAGGCTTGATGTCGGCATAATGGCCAGCACTCCTAAATCTTATTTGATATTATACATGTAACATTAAGATATTATTTTGATGACTTCGTAATTAGGAATTAACCAATGATGCTGTGAAAATTGGGTGGGTGAAAGGTTTGTCAAGGTCATGCCCAAAACCCTGTGAAAGTCTATGTTATGACTTTGCCTTCAAATGATATCTGTACTTGGGCATGGTTTAAAGAAAAAAAAGGAAAATGGATTGGACGTGAAAATGGGGAGGACTTTGGATGAGTACTGGGCCTAGTCAACGTATTTTTTTCGTGATAAATCAGATTTTAATGGTTAAAATTGGGAAAAATGGGTGATTATGCAATTATATACTCATTTTTAATATCAGAAATTGCTTGACCGTTGGATGATTTTCAACGGATGACTCGAGAAACGATGTTCGGTACAACATAGGGAGCGTTGATTTATCTTCCCCTATGAATTTCTCCGGCCACGTTCGGTAGTCTCCTGCGGCGGACTCTGCTTCCATCAGGCTGCAACTCCGACGATCCAACCGGCGACCGCCGGGGTTGGATCTACCTTACGGCGGGAGCTACGCGGGTATCGGGTCGGGGGCCGTCTCCGGCGAGATTCCGCCGTCACCTCTCTGCTGCGTTACCTATGCTTCGGATCTCGGGCTGCGTTGAAGGTGGGGGATCTAGAGGATGTGCTCGGATTCCATTCCGCTTCCATTAACTGCCGGCGGTAGACGGGAACAGATGCCTGTCTGCGAGATTCTGGTATGCTCCCAAGTCGCGGAAGGGTCTCGCTTTGCAGACTCGCCATCCCCCTCTTCCATCACGGGAGCCAGAGCTTGTCTTGTTCGTCGTCTCCGGCCGCCTCGGCCCTCACCCTCCAGCGCCTCCTCTCCAAGCATCTCACCAGCTTTACCGATCTCGGCCGGGCCCATTCCCTCGTCATCACCTCCGGCCACTCCTCCAACCCCTTCCTAGCCGCCAAGCTCATCTCCCTTTATGCAGACTTCCGCCGCGCCGATCTCTCCACTGGGGTCTTCTCGGCGGCCATCGCGCGCCAGCCAGTGGACACCTTCCTGTGGAACTCCATCATCAAGTCCCACTTCTCCAATGGCAACTTCCGTCCTGCTCTCCACCTGTATTGCCAGATGCTCGCACAGGGAGCGCGGCCGAACCACTTCACCATCCCGCTGGTAGCCTCGGCCTGCGCAGAGCTGCTGGAGCTCGCCGGGGGGTCTTGCGTCCACGGCGCTTCCCTCAAGTCCGGTTTGCTCGGATTGGGCTCCGCCGGCGTGGGCTCTGCTCTAGTGTACATGTACTCAAAGAGCCAGGCCATTGGGGACGCGCTGAGGTTGTTCGGGGAAATGCCGGAGAAGGACGTGATCTCTTGGACTGCCATCATAGTCGGATGCGCTATGAATGGGGATCCCGAGCTGGCCTTGGTTTGTCTCAGAGACATGCACGGCGGAGGCGCGAGGCCGAATTCTCGGACCCTCGAGGTCGGCCTGAAGGCCTGTGGGAGCCTGGAGGCCCTGCTGGAGGGGAGCTGCCTGCAGGGGCTGGCAGTGAAGAGCGGTTCATGGTGCTGCCATTCTGTGAGATCCTCCATGCTCTCGCTCTATTCCAAGTGCGGAAGCTTGGACGACGCCTGCGTCGTCTTCGAGGAGTTACCCACGAAAGATCTCATCTCCTGGACCGAAATCCTCGGCAAGTACGCCAGAATGGGCCTTGTTGCCGAATGCTCGAGGCTCTTCTGCGCGATGGTGGCCGACGGCGTGCACCCCGACGGTGTCTCCGTCAGCTGCCTGCTCAGCGCGTTCGCCACCTGCGGCAGCATCCGCGCAGGAGGAGCTCTCCATGGGTTCCTCCTGAGGAAGGACCTTCTCTCAGAGAAGCTGGTTGTGAGGTCCCTTTTGGAAATGTACTGCAGGCTCAGGCGGCCCACCGGGGCCAGGGCCGTCTTCGACATGATCGAAGAGAAGGACGAGGAGTCGTGGGCGCGGATGCTCTCTGGCTTGTGGAAGATGGAATCGAGCGCCGAGTGCCTGAATCTGTTCAGAGACATGCAGTTCCTGGAGCCTGGTATCGAAGCCAGCGCCGACTGCGTCGTCCCGGCGATCTCCTCCTGCTCTCAATTGCAGGACAAGCGCTCGGGGCTCGCTCTCCACTGTTTCTGCGTCAAGAAGAAGCTCGATGAAGAGATCTCTGTGATGAATTCTCTAGTGGGCATGTATGGTAGGGGCCCGAAGGCGGACTACTCCCGGCGGATATTCGATCTGATGGGGAGGAGGAGAGATGTAGTCACATGGAACACCCTGATGACGGCGCGCGCCCGCGCGGGGCGCTCTAGCGAAGCCCTCGAGCTGTTCGATCAGATGCTCTCCGAGGATGTGGAGCCGAGCCCGGCGACTCTGGTCATCGTTCTCTCGGCTTGTTCCGACGCGGCGGCGCTGCGCTGGGGCGAGTTGGCGCATGGCTACATCAGAGAGAAGGGTCTGGAGTGCGACGCCTCCCTCTCCACTACTCTGATCGACATGTACGCCAAGTGCGGGCGGCTCGATGAGGCCAGAAATGTCTTCGATTCAATGGGCGAGAGGGACGCGGTCGCGTGGAATGCCATGATCTCCGCTTACGGAGGCCACGGTCGCGCGGAGGAAGCCCTGCAGGTGTTCGAAGAAATGGGGAGGGCTGGTGTGAGCCCGAACGAGGTCACCTTCATTGCTGCTCTCTCGGCGTGCAGCCGCGCGGGTATGGTCGAGCAGGGCCGGCGGGTCTTCGGCAGCATGGGAGACCATTCAGTGGCGCCCACGAGCAAACATTACGCCTGCATGGTGGATCTCCTCGGCCGGTCGGGCCGGCTCGAGGAGGCCGAAGCCATGGCCTTCACCGTGCCGGCCGCGCCCGACAGCGGCGTGTGGGGGGCCCTGCTCGGCGCCTGCCGGCTGCACGGTAACGTCGAGATGGGCGAGCGGGCTGGGAAGAAGGCGCTGGAGCTGGAGCCCGAGAACGACGGGTACTACATGGTGCTCTCTAATTTGTACAACTCTGTGGGGAGGAAGGCCGACGCGATCGAGCTGAGGGAGGCGATGGTGAGCCGGGGTGTGAGGAAGAGTGCCGGTTGGAGCATGGCTGAGCTCGACGGCGTTGTGGAAGAGAGCTGAAGAATCTATGAAGGCCTTCTGCCTGATTGCGCCAAGCTCGGGCTTCGTCGCGTACAGAGTAGAAATTATTGTTGGGTTTCATCAACTTTGCGGCAGGTTCAAGTCTGGTTAAATACACTGTGGCCTCAGGCTGGGCTTGACGTCCTCGGCCCGGCCCGATTATTGATAGTGCCTCAATGTCAATTTGAGGCATTCTATCCCCCGACAGAATACCATATAATGAACTTCACGTGTTTTGTTGCTACCTTCATCTGGTCTGCCAATTTTGATTATTGTAAATTTTTTATAATGTATGTTTAGAATAAAACCAAAAAATAACAAGAATAAAAACATAAATAAATATTCATATAGAATGCATGCCATGATTAAGTAAAATGGAAATTAAAATTTTGATTTTGGGAAATGAAAAATTGAAGAATATTAAATTACTAATGAAGGATTGAAAAAAAATGACATATATTTAACATTTGAATAAATATTACATAATAAATTATAATTTTTTGTTTCATCTTTTGAAAAAACAAAAAATATATTTTTGGATATTTTTCCAAAATCATCTAGTTGACATAAGGTTAGAACTTAATATACTATGGGATATTAAACATATAATTCTTCAATGAATAGAAACGTTTTTGACTCTCATTTGAATATACATAATACCAAATATTTAATAAAACGGGCATCTCAATCTAAACATCTTAAACCCTTTTAACGTTTCCCTTGTTTCTCTACCTAATTGGCACTTGAAATGATGGGATTACGACATGACCAATCAATCTGCATCCATGGTGCAACTTTTCATGATGATCTACTAGAGCTGAGAACTTTAATGAAGCTAGGGTAGTAGGGGATTCACTAACTGCTCAAGAAAAGCATGAGTGTTGTTGGAGAAGCAAAGAAGGTTTGCATTGGGATGAGAATTAGGTGGTGATAGAAGTTTTGGATATTTTTAGCAAATTCGTAATACCTTCCATTGATTACTACAATGCTATAATTTAAGAAATAATTAGAAGAATAGCATTATTTTGCCAATGAAGCTCAAGTTATGAATTCATTATTGGAAAATGTAAATTTTATGTAAAGTTGCATTTTCTAAAAGCTTTTCTCATAAAGGGTTGACACAAGATTAAATTAAGTTTAGTAAAAGCCCTTATGTTTCCACAATGCTTGTTTTTCACAAATAACTTGTTGAACAAAAACACTTGCAAATATTTTTATGCATCTTTAATTTGTAAAAATGTGCCTTTCATTTCTGTAAAAAATATACAATTGGCAGCTGTAATTATTCTATAATAAATGATATTATCATTATTATAGAGCTTTAGTTAGGGTATGAGAAAAAGTGCAAGAAAATCTATAACTTTACGTAGTAATCACAAATACTTGAAAATATTTTTGAAGGTACTTTAGACGTTAAAATTCCAGAAATATTAAATCAGTACAAATGGCCCAGTAAAGTCATACCTACCATGTTTACATAATATAATGGAAACTTGAAACAAAGTGCTTGATGTGAAAGAAAACTCCAACTCGAGGAACAGTTGAAGACCTGTGGACTTGGTGATCTTTCTTAGTTTCCGCCTTCCGTGCACACCTTTGAACGGAGTAACCTGGACGAGCATGGAAGCTTTCCGCGGGAGATGGTCGCCAGGGAGCAGCCGTGCATCACCAGCTGAGAGACGGCACAGGCTGAGACCGTCCTGAGGAATGGTCCGAGGACCGTCCACCTCAACACCGGATCGTGGAGCAAGTACGGTGCCTGGCCTGGCGCCGGATCATGTGCCGGCGGTTCAATAGGCTGGTTCTTCACGCAGAGAAGTCTCCTGGTGAGGGTCAATGGCTTGACCTCGAGCCAGTGCGAAGAAGGGTCCTTAGTCCTTCGGCTACTTGCCGCTTCCTCCGATCTGTCCTCTCGTCTTATCAATCCCAAGCTACGCTAGGGGAACCCCCGCGGAACTCCACGGTGTACGTGCTCCGGGCTTCGTGCTGATCCGGTGCTAGCGATCGAACTTCTAGGCGGGGATCCGTGCGTCGGGAACGGGCACTGCCGCTTGATTGAAGGTGGAGTACGGAAGGGGACTCTGACGATACGCGGTCCTCACCGTCCGGAGGATCATTCCTGCCGACGGTGCCGATGGCAGGAGAGGGGAAGTTCTCAAGGAGAGGGTTTTCTGGACAATCAGAGTGTCGCTGTCGGCCTCAGGGTGTGAGGCGCTTCCTGGCGAGGAAGGTGAGGGAGCGCACAGGCCTCGAGGCATGATGGAAGAGGACGTGGAGCAGCTGACAGTCAGTGACCAGGATGTGATGGACATAGAGGGTATCATTACTGATCGGAGGCGTGGAGGAAGAGGACGTGGGCAGGGTCGTGTGGGAACGGCATTGTAGTACCTTGGCGCGGTCTAGTGTTATTTACTTCCATCCAACGCTCGGCTAATACACTGGGCCGGCCCATTATTGTTTCCATTTCTCTGAGGTAAAAAATTAATGGATATCAAGAGCTCGGCACCTGTTCAGCATAGACTAGAGGAAGGTTTTTGTTTGCTATTCGGATGGGGGTGTTATTGGGCCCTGCTGATTTTAATGGCCCATAAAAGTTGCTTATTCTCCCCTTCCTCCACTCCCTCCTTTCTCTATCATCTGATATCTCGTCACTCCCCGGCACTCCTTTCCTCACTTTCTCCTATCTTCAAGGGGCCACTCTTTCTCGTTGTGTACAAAGTTTCCATCACCTCCTCCACTTCCTCTCCCATGGTTTAATGGTGCATGGGCAAAGTCAAATTGATGATGAACACCATTTGACTAATTATCATCATCCTTATTATTTTTAAATAAGAAAAATATTTTCACTTTAAATTAACTGAAATATATTCCTAAGATGTGATGGGTTTACTTTAATTAAATTTATGATTCATTCAATTTTTTTAATTCCAATAATATTATTTATCAATGTACACAATTTTGTCATATTTTTTTAAATGATGTGAATTTATTTTTTTATCCCATTTTACATCATTTTTATCTTATATATCAATACAAAAACTAAGAAACATCCTTTTAAGATCCAAAATAACACGATATAGTTAACATCAGTTGGTTCATTTCACATCCATTAGTTTATCTCCAACATCACAATTGGTGCTATCACCACAATCTACCAATGTCATTTATTCACCTTTTCATAATCACTATTGTCACTCAAAACCACTAACTATTATGCTCTACACAATAATTGTCTTAGTTACTCTTTTGTGCACTTGGCTCTGCCAAACATTATAATTGTTTGCCATACTTGGTTTCATTTTCATCATTTGCTAAAACAATGTTAATGCAATGAACCAAAATTTGAACTTTAAAAGAATCATTATTTATTAGCATGTTCTTGTTGACTAGGATTATTACTAACTTTTACAACACATCCTAAATGTAAAATGATAATTTTCCATATTCCGTTATCACTATTCACATGCTTTAGGTAGGATATTATCGTCAGGATATCAAAGAAAATTGGGGTTGAAAAAGTAGGATCCTACGTTGTTTCCAGCTGAAGGAGTCATCCAAACAGGGTCAAAGTGCTGTGCATCTAAAGCAATAATATTCTTACAAATGAACTAGTACGAATAAGGAGAGAGATAATATTGGGAACTAGCTATTAGATGTTTGTGTCAGCATTAGGAGCCCATCATGTTTTGCTGATGATCATAACATATAGAAGAATATGTTGATAAAGATTGTGATTGTAGAATTATGTATTTTGACGATCTTAATGATTTTTATTGATGAAAAACTTGAAACTAAAAACGTCAAAACCAGGGGTCAAATAGTTATTTTACATTACAAGCTAAACCGAATATTCCTCATGACCTTGAAAGTGCCCAAGACAATTGCACATGCTCTGAAATGATTTTTTTATTTTTTTTATAATTTTAGTACAATATTATCTCCACATTTTCTCAAGGTCCTAATTCAAGTATGAACATGTGTTAACACATGATGAGGGTGCAGAGATGATCATTAGGTGCAGCACAAAATGACAAAAATGTAAGTTACTGCTGGGGCATGCCAGCACCACAAAAAAACGTAAATTAGATCATTAAATGACCATTGGAAAATCTTGAAAATCATATAAAAACTGCTGAATATGGAAGGAACGTTTTACTCAACAAGAAAAGTGTAGAGGATCAATGATTAAAGCAAGATTAAGGGAAATCAATATGAAACAATAAAGGACTAAACCCACGTCCTTAATGAAAAGCTTCCAAATCTGAAATTAGAGGAAATAGAAGTTTGAAAAACTTGGATTCTGAATGCCAAGAATTATAACTCGTTTTGCATTATATTTTGGAGTACGAATATAGTTAGGCCAATCTAGAGGAGGTTAGCATGTGTTAATATCATTGGCTCTAGAGGTCATAAATTTAGAAGAGAAGAGAGGTACTCTAATTTGGTCCCATAGAGTTGTGAATCTAAAAGAGAAGAAGGCTCATCTTTCAATTTAGTCCCCTAGAATCATGAATCTAGAAGATAATTTATAGGTGGAGTCTTGAGGAAGCTAGAGATGTTAAAGCTAGTGAAAATAGTTGGAGATTATAATTTATTGTGTATTTTGAGAAAAAACTTTGTAAAATTGAGACATGGTTTTTGGAGAGTGGAGCAAGCTAGATAGACTAAACCACTATAAATTGTGAGAGTGAAATATGCATTTACCACTTTAGATCTTAGTACTAAAAAAGAATTAGAGAAAAACCAGTTCATCCCATCTCTCATTGTGCCATGTTGCCACATGGAATTCAATAGTTTGTTGGTAATGATTACAATAACTACATAAGGTCTAATATAGAATATTTCCTATTTAAGAAGAAATAATTTTGTTGTCCAAAAGTCATAATTTTGCAAAAAAGAAGCTCTCACACTTGCTCCTAGAGAATTGGTGAACAAAGTATCACAAAATTTATCACAATCTTTTTTATGGGTTTTACAAATTTATGGGAAAATTTTAAGGC